ACAGTAACTAATGGGATTAGGGAGTTAGGGGCTTACGCCCCCTGCGGCTAAGAGCGACTGAGTCCACGTGTGGCTGCTGCACACTGTTGGACGCTGTACTTCCGTGGTAATCAGCAGGGGGCTGCGTGTGGGTGTGGGCAGTGTGCCTAGGACTGTCCTCCTGCGCAGGGGATGACAGGCCCTGACACACTGAGCACATGGTACACGTCCCCTGGGTCTCCCCAAGGTCTCAGATGGGCCCTGGTAGGCAGGAGGCCCTCTGTCTCCATGGGACAGCTGGGTGGGTGACAGCTGAGAGGTCGCAGATGCTGGCAGATGCCGTGCGTGTCTGCCCGTGATTAGCCGTGGCCTGCGCTCTGGGTGTGCTGGGTGTTGTGACGGTTGAGACCCTGGGCGCCTGCTCTCTGCTACCCAGGCCACCCTGGCCATCCCCAGCTGATTGTGCTCTGTCCGCAGAAGCCTGGGATCCTGGGAGACTCTCCCCTGGGCGCCCTGCAGCCTGGGGCCCAGCCGGCCAACCCCCTCCTCGGGGAGCTGTCTGCAGGTAACACGGACCCCCGCCCCTCCTCATCTTTCTGGGCCCCTTCCCGCTTTCCCTTCCGGAGCCCCTTTCCTCACTGGGCCTGGGCAGATGACCTCCTGTCTCCGGGTCTCAGTGCTCCCGTCCATCAGTTGGGCCCCCACCTCCCAGGGTGGCTGTGAGCATCCTGGGAGTTGACGTACTTAGAGGGCTCTGTTCACTGCCCAGCACGTACCTGCTGGTCCTGGTCCAAGCAGAGGCTCGGGGCCCCGAGAAGACGAGTCTAGTATGGTTGGACGCCCACACTGCCTTCTCTCTGCAGGGGGGGCCCTGCCCCCGGAGCTGCCACCCCGGCGAGGGAAGCCACCGCCTCTGCTGCCGCCATTGCTTGGCCCCTCTGGGGGTGACCGGGAAGCCATGGGCCTGGGTCCCCCAGCATCCCAGCTGACTCCACCACCTGCCCCAGTGGGACTCCGAGGCACAGGCCTTAGAAGCCTCCAGAAAGACAGTGGGCCTCTGCCGCCGCCCCCTGGGGTAAGGCTCTGCCCCACGTCCGGTACCCTTCTAGGCTCCTGCCCTGTGGGGGGCCGCCCCCAGGGGCCCTCACGAACCCAGCCCTTCTGCCACAGGTCTCGCTGCTGGGGGAACCCCCAAAGGACTTCCGGATCCCCCTGAATCCCTACCTGAACCTACACAGCCTACTCCCAGCCAGCAACCTGGCGGGTAAGGAGGCTCGGGGCTGGGGAGGCACAGGGAGAAGCCGCCGCCCAGCTGAGGGCCACCTGCCTAACCCCCCAGCCCCCGGAGGTGGTGGCGGAGGTAGTGGCAGCAGCAAAGCCTTCCAGCTCAAGTCCCGCCTGCTCAGCCCTCTCGCCAGCTCCCGCCTGCCCCCCGAACCAGGGCTGCCCGACAGCTATGGTTTCGACTACCCCTCGGTGAGTACTTCGCTGCCATGTGCTCAGCCCTCCCGAGGGCCGCTGCCGTGGCCCCTTGTCCCCTTGAGAGCAAGTCATTCTCCGAACCAGTATTTCTCTGATACTGGCTGCCCGGCAAGCACGAGGGAGACAGCGGGGAATGTGCCAGACGCGGTCCCTGCCCTGAGTCTCCTGTCTGTCTCTGCGCATCAGACCTGGTTCCCGTCTGTCTTTCTCTCCCCAGAGGCTTTAGGCTATGCTTCCCCTTCTTGGAGACCAGGCTCAGTGTCCTGTTGATCTCAGTCCTGCTGTCCCTTCCTTGATTCCTGTGTCTGTTGCTGGAGAGCTGCTCCTTCTGTGATCGCAGCCTCCTCTAGGTCTCTAGGTCAGACGTGGCAGCCTGGCCACCGGCAGGCCCCCCGGGGTTAAAAACTTTAACAACTGAAATACACGTCACTGGCAACACACAGAGGAGTTCACACAACCCGGATGCCTCGCTGGCCTTGAAGAACTCCAAACACCTGGGCCCGTGGGAGCCACATGCCTTCACAGCAGCCATCTCTGGGCCTGGGGTGTCCCCACTCCCGCCAATGGGGTGCACTCTCTGTCTCACTCCAGCTGCCCCACTCTGCAGTTGGAAGTTGCCCCCACACAGTAGAGCGTGCCCCCTCCTTGGACGGGGCCGACTTCCCCGGTAACAGCTGTGCCGTGGGGCTCAGCCGGGGGTGAGGCTGGTGGACTCCAATCCAGCGTGCTTCTCCCACTCTCATGCAGGACGTGGGACCTCGGCGGCTCTTCTCCCACCCCCGGGAGCCAGCTCTGGGGCCTCATGGACCCAGCCGACACAAAGTAAGAGCTGCCCGTCCAGCTCATCTCCTGGGTGTATCAGTTAGCCTGTGCTGCCTGACAAGCAGCCCCACCGCTTTGTGGCTTAGAACAGCGAACATTTTATTTCTCACCATTCTTCCTGGCGGCAGGTGGGTGGGTCTCTGTAGTTACGTGACATGTGACCGTCACATGACAGCACAGCTGGGGCTCAGCAGTCTGCAGGTGTTTTAATCACATACCTTGCAGCAGAGGCCTCAGCTGGGATGATTTATCTGCTGCTCATGGAGCCCGTCCTCCAGCAGGCCACCCCTGTGTGCTGTCCTGCATGTGGTGGCGGTTCTGGGGTTCCCCAAGGAAGGAAGGGCAGGCCCCTCTGCCTTTACAGTCATGCTGCCGTCCTATTGGCCAAAGCTAGTCACATAACAAAGCCCAGTGTCATTTGGGAGGGTCTGCAAAAAGGGGTTGGATTCTTCAATAATCCGTCTCACTCAGCCTGGCCCCCTCTCTACAGATGTCCCCCCCGCCTAGTGGCTTTGGTGAACGGAGCGGCGGGGGCGGCGGGGGGCCCCTCTCCCACTTCTATTCGGGCTCGCCCACTTCCTACTTCACCAGTGGCCTGCAGGCTGGCCTCAAGCAGAGCCACCTTAACAAGGTGAGGAGCCTCCCCAGCTGAGGACAGGTCCCCAGGGACAGGCAGGATGCAGGAGGCCTGTGACCTTTGGTGCCTAGGCCAAGACTGGGGTGGTGACAGTCAGGGCTCAGCTTTGTGAGGGCCGGTCTGAAACAAGCTGTCCTCCCCACACCTGTGGGGCTTGCGCCTGGTGTCGCCCGGCCTTCCTGGCCCCTCTCACTCCCTCTCCCGGAGCCCACGGTGTGGCCGACAGTAACCCCAGTAGATAGATGAGCAAATAGGCTCGGAGAGAAGCAGTCATCCTCTCCCGGTCTCCCAGCTAACGAGTGGCAGAGGCGGGATCTGAGCCTGAAAGCCCCTGCCTTTGCCCTGGGGGCTGCTTCCTCTCCCACTGCATCTGTCTCCCGTGTCTCCTAGGCGGTCGGCTCCTCTCCACTGGGCTCTGGGGAAGGGCTCCTGGGCCTCGGCCCTGGGCCCAATGGCCACAGCCACCTGTTGAAGGTACGGGGCTGGGGAGGGGCAGCGGGGGCATGCCGGGCTGGGGAGCAGTGGCCGCCAGACGGCCCCTGACCTGCCATCCCCTCCCCTCTGTCTCCAGACTCCGCTGGGTGGCCAGAAGCGCAGCTTTGCCCACCTGCTGCCCTCACCCGAGCCCAGCCCGGAAGGCAGCTACGTTGGCCAGCACTCCCAGGGCCTCGGCGGCCACTACGCAGACTCCTACCTGAAGCGCAAGAGGATTTTCTAAGGGGCCAGTGCCAGAGATGCTCAAGGGCCTGCACCAAATCGCTTTTGGGTTTTCTGGTGTTCTGTTTGTGTCTCTCCCCCCCCCCCCCCGTAATAGAAAACTCTCTGAAAGACTTTGGTGACCAACCAGCCGGAACCCAAGGAGTGTGGGGGAGTCTGGGGGGCCCTGTGCACCTCTGGCCTGCTCCCAGCATGGAAACTACAGCCTTAAGAGAGAGGGGCCCTGGCCAGCTCTCTCCCCCCTCCCCTGCATCCGCCTGTGTCTGTCTCTCTGGGAGTCCTCTCCTGCCTCGTCACTCCTGCATCTTGGCCTCTCGAGTGCCTTGGAGGTTCCCCTGACCTCCCGTGAGGGTCAGAGACTGTCCCCCTTTTTTAACTTTGACAATTGACTTTTGTTTCCTTTTCTAATTTGTATTATTTTTTAAACAATCCAGGACGACCCCCAGCTCTGATTCCTTCAAGGTCCAGCATGTCTGGGCCTTCATTCCACACTTCCGGTTTGAGATGGCTCAGCCCTTTTCCTGTCATGCCTGCTGCAGGCATGGCTGTGTCCTGTCCCTGCCTGCCTCCTCTGGCCTGCATTCCAGCTCGGGGCCCCCAGCCTCCTGCCGCACTTCCCTCGCCTTCTGATGCCTTAAAGCCGGGTCCCAGGCCCTGCGGTCAGAGCCTCTTAGATGCCGAGCTCCGGAAGCTTGACTCAGGACCAAATGGCTCTGGCCTGGGGATTGGGCCCCTCTACCGAGTCCCCACTCTGGGGACAGTAAAAGGCCAAAGCCTTGGTTTTGGCAGACCAACCCCATCATCCCTCCTGCCCAGGCCTAGGGACAGAGACAGGTTTTCTCTGCCAGCTTAAGCCAGTCCTGCTGTCAAGTCTGTGGGAGTCGGGTATTGTGCATCTCACTGAGCCTCTGCTGTCTCCGCCCCCATGTTGAAGATGAATTCCACCTCTCCATCCCCAGGCTAGATCACCTGGAGCTGGCCTCCCGCGGGCCCAGTGTGAGTCCAGCAAGTTCAGGCAGATGAGCTCTGCCCCTTGCCCACCAGCAGGACCTGTGGGCCTGAGGAGGTCCTGGGCCCTCCCTCTGGCGGCTGGGCCACCAGCTTCTCTCCCCTGACTCTGGGGGGGGCCGGGGTCCACATCCACTCCAGGGGGGTGTCGTCTCTCCAATCCTCTCACAGACTTTTCCTTTGCTGAATTAAAGTTTGTAAGTAAATGGTTTTAAAGAAAGCAGAGCTGGCTGGTTCTTGGGACAAACGGTGGGCCGGGGGTGCGAGGTCAAGGGTGGCCCCGCAGGTCTTTAGTGTGGGTGAGCCAGCCTGGCGCCCCCCTGCTCTGGCGGATCCTTCCTGGAGGCCCTCCTTTCACAAAGCCCCGCACAATCGGCCGGGCTTGTATTCGGGCAATTACGGGCGCATCGGTCGCGTGGCTGCCACTGGGCATGCCCAGCCCCGGGTCACGTGACATCTGTCATGGCCGCCTCCGTGGCCCGGGGAGGCGTGAGTGCCAGGCTTCTGCTGCGGGCGGCCAGGCGAGCCTGGTGGAGCCGGCCTGCAGGCTCCTGGGGGTCTGGGGAGGCGGCGGCGCCAGCGACCGCCAGAAGATTCCGAGCGACAGGTACGTGGGGCGCCTCGGGGGCTGGCGTCAATCCGTCGGACGCCCGCAAGGCGCCGCGGGGCCGCTCACGAACCGTGTTTTTCAGGCTCGCGCCCGGCGGGGGAGGAGGAAGCCGGCGGCCCCGAGCGGCCCGGGGACGTGTAAGTGTAGGGGGGCAGGCCCCCCATTCTTTATCTCGTGAGATTCCTCCGGTCCCCACCTTGCCCTGCGGCCTCACCTTTGTCCTATTCCCCCGGCTGTCAGCCCCCGCCCCCCCATCCTAGATTCCACCTGGCCACTGCGTCCATCGTCAAGTTTGGCATCTGCACCTCGTCTGTCCCCAGGGTGAACGTGGTGTTCGTAGACCGGTCAGGCCAACGGATTCCGGTGAGCGGCAGAGTGGGGGACAATGTTCTCCACTTGGCCCAGCGCCATGGAGTGGACCTGGAAGGTGGGAGCCCGGCACAGGGAACTGGGGAGGTCCTTGTCTCTTGTTTAAAAAGACCCGCAAATCAGATACGGTTCTCCATTACCTAACGCTCCCATGGCTTCCCATCAAACATGGTTAAAATCCAGACTCCTTCCCAACGTCTCAAACTCTGACCAGCTTTAAACCTCTTCACTCGCTCAGCAGTTATTTGTTGAGCACCCATTAGAGGTTCTTTTTTTTTTTTTTTAATGTTTTATTTCTGAGCGAGGTAGAGAGACAGCGTGAGCAGGGGAGGGTCAGAGAGAGAGGGAGACACAGAATCCAAAACAGGCTCCAGGCTCTGAGCTGTCAGCACAGAGCCTGACGCGGGGCTCAAACCCATGAACCGTGAGATCATGGCCTGAGCCGAAGTTGACGCTTAACCGACTGAGCCACCCAAGCGCCCCTCATTAGAGGTTCTTTAAACCGCTCCCCTCTGGGAGCTTGCATTCTCTTCCTCCTTCTCTCTAGTCTAGACTCACTGGCTTTCTTGCTATTCCTCAAACAAAAAGCCCAGTTTGTTCCTGCCTCAGGGCTTTTGCACTCATGGCTCCAGACATCTGAAATCCTTTCCCACCAGATCTTCTGGCTCCATCTCATCCTTCAGGTCTCAGTGTAAATGTCACCTTTCTGACAATCTCATCGCCTCAGCCCAGCTAAAGTCCCCATCCCCAGTCACTCTGTCATCTCCATGTGCTTTATGGCCTCGTTGCTTTCTTTCCATTTCTTCGCCTGTCCTCAGAATGAGACCAGAAACCCTCTTTGCCACTTATCGGTTGCCTGTCATGCTATTTAGATGGAACAGGTATTAAATCAATGTCTGTTGAATGAAAGAAAGAGCAGACATTACCTTAAGCGTGTTAAATACCTATTGACTGATCAGATCTTCATGGCAACGTTATGTGATACGGTAGATGATCTCATTTTATAGGTGAAAAAACTGAGGGTTAAGTTGACAGGGTCTAAGGTCAAGTAAGTGGCAAAACTAGATGTCAAGCCAGCTTATTTTTTAATTTATGTTTATTTATTTTTGAGAGAGAGACAGAGAGCAAGCAGGGGAGGAGCAGAGAGAGAGAGAGAGACAGAATCTGAAGCAGGCTCTGGGCTCCGAGCTGTCAGCACAGAGCCCGACACGGGGCTCGAATCCACGAACTGTGAGATCATGACCTGAGGCGAAGTCAGACGCCCAACTGCCAGAGCCACCCCGGCGCCCCAAAAGCCAGCTTATTTTAGCCCCTAATCTGTGCTGCTCTTCTGTGCACATTGAATACCTACTGTGCGCCAGGCAGCAGTGTATAAAACAGACAAGGTCCCTGTTGTTTCACGCCAGTTCCAGCCTAACGGGGACAATGATCTCACGAGTAAACATGTAATTATATCACGAGCAGCTGGAGAGGTCGGTCTCAAGCAAAAATGTACCGGGTTATTGGTTGGGTGAACAGAATACAGAGCCTGAAATATTGAGTCATTACAGGGGGCAGAGATACTGCGGGGCTGGGCCTGGCAGGCCTACCTCAAGTTCTATTCTGGAATCCAATCACCAGGAGTTCAGGACAGAGATTGGAACGTTGAGTTTGAGAGGCAAGTGGCCTCTGGTCAAATTTTGCCTGTTACCAGCTGTGGGACCCTGAGCAAGGGTCCTTAACGTCTCTCCATCTCTGTTTCCTCCCCTGTAAAATGGGATACTCGACTTACTGTCTCACTGGGTTGCTCTGGAGACTTCCACAGATCCCGTAAGTAGTGCCTAACACCTGGCACACAATTAGTGCACAGTGACAGGTCGGGACCTTTACATTAGGTCATCTCTATCTCACGAGGTGGGGATGCTAACGAGGTGGGAAACAGGGCCGAGGAAGAGCTCCCTGGGGCCTTTTCCCCCAGGAGATGGGGAGGTGGGCTAAGTCACCAGGGCCCCCAGCGAGGTTCTTTGGGTCAGCTTCATCTTCATTGTCCAACGTGTCAGGAAGAGAGAATTCCGTCCCGTTCACTTAGAACACGTGTCTCTTGAGCATCCACAGCACGCCAGCCTCAGTGCCAAGTGCAAAGAGAGGAGGCCAGGATGGCGGAGCATAGGTGAACCCAGGGATCAGATGGTAGTTTTGGATTGCGGTAAATTCCATAAAGAAATTAGAGTCGCCAAGGCGAGGGGGGAGGATAATAAATAGGAGGTGGGGGGACTGGAAGACAGTGGAGTTGAATCCCTGAAGCCAAGAAGGATCTAATCACGGAAAGAGCAGAGAGAAGAGCACTTCAGGGCAAGGGCACAGCAAGTGCAGAGGTCCTGTGGTGGGGACGAGCTTGACATGTTGGAGTTGACCAGGGGGCCCAGTGTGGCTGATGTGGAATGAGTGAGGGATCGGGACGATCTCAAGGACTGGTTTTATTCTGGCTCTGAGAACCCTTTGGAGGGGCGCCTGGGTGGCTCAGTCAGTTAAGTGTTTGACTCTTGGTTTCAGCTCAGGTCACGATCTCACGGTTCGTGGGTTTGAGCCCCGCATCGGGGTCTGTGCTGACAGTGCAGGGCCTGCTTGGGATTCTCTCCCTCTCCCCTGCTCGCTCGCTCTCTCTCTCTCCAAATAAACTATAATTTTTTAGGGGCACCTGGGTGGCTCAGTCGGTTGAGCATCTGACTTCAGCTCAGGTCATGATCTCATGGTTTGTGGGTTCGAGCCCCGCGTGGGGCTCTGTGCTGACAGCCAGCTCAGAGCCTGGAGCCTGCTTCGGATTCTGTGTCTCCCTCCCTCTCTGACCTTCCCCTGCTCACACTGTCTGTCTGTGTATCTCTCTCAAAAAAATAAAACATTTTTAAAAAATAAACTATAATTTTTTTAATGTTTATATCAGAGAGATAAATAAATGAACTTAAATAAATAAATAAACTTAGAAAACCCCAGAAAGTTTTAGGCCAGGAGGGATGTTTTCCCCACGCACAGTTCCCAGTGATCAATCCAAAAGTTGGGAATGTGTCCAGGGAAAAGCAGGAAACCCCAGCTTCTACATCCTGCAGCCCTTATGTTCTGGTCCCTTCTCCTGCCACACTAGGTGTTGAGTGAGCTGGTCCCATCCTTAGGAGCAACGGGGAGATGGGAACCCATTTGCCCAGCATGGGAACCGGGTCCCAGCAGGGGCTTACAGGCTACAGGGACCCTGCCCGACCTTTCACCTCTCGGCTACACGGAAATCAAGTCCGTGTTCCTCCAGGGTGCCATGCACGCGGCGCGGGCCCCAGCCTCCTGGGGGGAGGGGAGTCCTAGGGAGACGGGACACCCAGCCATCCCTTGGCAGGCTTATCCACAGTTAGGGAACAGCTAACCGAGCAAATGACAGGGTGGAGCGTCCACGCCGTGCGTGCTCAGAGGACGGAGTGAGGAGGTCGCCCGGTGAAACACAGGGCCTCTTCTTCGTGTCTCGGACTGAAGGCACCTACCTGACCGTGTCCCTCACCGTCACTTCCCCACTTGTTGCCCCCAGGGGCCTGCGAGGCTTCCCTGGCCTGTTCTACCTGCCACGTATACGTGAGCGAGGACCACCTGGACCTGCTGCCTCCTCCTGACGAGAGGTGAGCGGGGCGGCCCCCCCCCAGGCCTGAGCCGTGGGGCCGCGGAGTCTGTGTGCCTGCTGTGCGGGGCCATCCTTCTCCCGCCGCCTACCGCTTTCCTCCCCCTCGCACCCCGCCCTTGCGGCCATTTCCCCTGGGTTTGGGCAGCCTGCTCCGCCCTGCCCTTCGGGGCGTCCTTGCTAGGCATCCTGCCCCCCCAGCCCCCACCCCCGCTGACCCTGTTCTTGCCCCAGGGAGGACGACATGCTGGACATGGCCCCCCTTCTTCAGGAGAACTCCCGGCTGGGCTGCCAAATCGTGCTGACTCCCGAGCTGGAAGGGGCCGAGTTCAGGCTGCCGAAGATCACCAGGAACTTCTACGTGGACGGCCATGTCCCCAAGCCCCACTGACGCGGGCAGCCGGGGCCATCCCGGACACCCGTGGCCCTCGGGGCCAGGACTGGAAGAGTAGCCGAGCTGCCAGCCCGGCCCAGAGCGTGGACAGGCCCGAGAGAGATGTCGGGAGCGACCAGAAGTCCAAAGCCCCTGCTTCAGAGAGATCCCGTGTCCAGGCTCTGGTTGGGGGGCCACCAGCCCCTGCTGGGGGAGCCGAGGCCAAGCTCACTAGAATCAGTGGGTGGATAGGGTGGAATCTGACAATAAAACTGGCTCACAGAGACCTCCAGCATCTTGAGTGTCCTTGGGTGTGGGGAGGGGGGCCGGAGGGGGGCAGGCCTGGGGTCTATGGCTGCATCTTCTATACCTGGACCCCCAACCCTCCCCTCTCATAGCAGCGATTGGGCAGCGGGGGTGGGGGGGGCCGCTGAGGTAAAGACCTGGAGCCTCCCTGGAGGAGAGGGCGTGGGAGCCCGAGCACACGTGGGTCGGCTTGGCAAGGCCCCGCCCCCGCAGCCGCGGAGGGATTTGGAGGGGTCCGAGCTGGCCCCGGCGGGGTGCGAAGTCCACCTGAGCAGGGTCGCCCGAGTGGCACCGAGGCTGGCCCGAGGCGCTCGCAACCGGGTGCCGATCACCGGCGACCACGGATCGCCGCCGCCGGCTAGAGGCGCCCGACCCCGCTCGCCCCGCCCAGGTGGGGCCCACCGCACCCTCCGCAGAGGCGCCCCCGCCCGGCGCGGCCCGCTCCACTCAGGTGGGGCTCGTCGAGTGGGCCCGGAGGGGGCGGGGCCGGGAGCGATCAGGGAAGCGGGGCTGGGGCGCAATGGAGGCCCGGTCAGCCCCGGACTTCTCTAAGCTCCAAGAGCTGCTGGCGTCGCCGTGTCTGGACCCTAAGCCGTCCCAGGCGCCCCCTCTTCAGCAGACACCAAGGACCCCAGGATGCCCCAGACCCAATGGCAGGTGCGTTAAGGAGCGGCCCCTTCCCCAAAGCCGACCCAGTGGTCAAGGGTCAGGCCCTGCGGTTCCTGGGGTTATCTAGCGGTCACGGTGTTAGTTACTGGTACTCAGAAAGAAGAAGTTCTGGTCCCCAGGGATAGTTGGGGTCATATGGGGGTCAGAGGCCACGCAATCCCCTTAGCCCGTGGCTCTGAGGACTACACAGGTGCTGCCCACACTGTCCCTTGTCCCCAGGTCCTTCTGGCCTGCACGCCAGGACTCCGTGTCTGCCCTGCGTCTTCTCCAAGAAACAGCAGAGGAGCTGGTCCAGCGCCCTGCCCAGGACACCCAAACCCTGGGGGCTTCCCGGGAGCTGAAGCCCTTGGGGTCTCTGGGACCCTCGCCTCTAGCAAGGGAGGCCGAGAACATGCTGACCCCAACCAACCAGCAGTGCTGCAGCTGGGGCCCCCCTGAAGCTCCCCCGGCCCCCTCAGCCCTACCCCAGAGGAGGCCCCGGAAGCAGTCAAAGCCCCACCGGGGCGCTGAGAAAGTGGATCCCCGGTTTGAGGGGGTGACCCTGAAATTTCAAATAAAGCCGGATTCCAGCCTACAGATCCTAGCCAGCTACAGGTAGGGGCTGGCCAGAGGAGGGCGCCCTTTTCGCAAGTTCTAGTGATAATGGTGGGGGCAGGGCCCTCCAGGCATCTCCTCACAGGCGCCCACACCAGCCCTACTTTACAAATAGCTCATCTCTGAGCGAGACCTCAGGCTGGTGCCGGTCCCAGCCCTGCTGCTCTGATGCAGCAATGTCCTGGTCTGAGCATAGGTCCTCTTTTTTTCTTTTTTTCCATGTTTATTCATTTTTGAGAGAGAGAAAGAGAGAGAGAGAGAGAGAGTGAGCAGGGAAGGGGCAGAGAGAGAGGGAGACACAGAATCCGAAGCAGGCTCCAGGCTCTGAAATGTCAGCATAGAGCCCGACATGGGGCTCGAACTCGTGAACCGTGAGATGGTGACCTGAACCGAAGTCAGTGAGCATAGGTCCTCTTTATGAGATGGGCCTGACCATCCCGAGGGCCGCCGCTACGGCTATTTTTTTCAGTAATGTTAATGACTGCCGTGTGTCACAAACAACAATAAGAGGTAACAGGCAGCACTTGATGTGTACGGGCTCGTTGAAGCCTTGTGAATCCCATTTTACAGATTTCGAAACTGAGGTGCAGAGGATGAGCTCACTTGTCCAGGGTCACGCAGTGAGGACTTGGGAGAAATGGGGTCTCAAACTGACAGGCCGGCCCCAGGCTCCCTACCTCTTCCTATGATGATGATCATCATCATTATTACTAATGAGGGGCAAGGCCAGGCCTTTGAAACATCAGATGCCTCCTTGGGGGATGCTTGATACCCTGACAGTGACTTGTCCTTGAGGGGCGCTGCCCACGACGAGGTACAGATCCCCCACTGCTAACTCCTATCTGTTCTCCAGCCTGGCCTGCGGTAGCCGCTCCCAGGGTCCCTCCACAGGCCCTGCGGGGGGCCCTGAGGCCAGCTCAGGAGGCAGCGAGGCCCTGGGTGAGTCCTGGAGACTTGAAAGCTATAAATATCTGCGGGGGGGGGGGGGGGAGAGAAGCAATTTCCCATCCTCTGTCTTTCTTCCCGTCCTGCTACCCCATTTAGAACCATCCAGAAGGAGTCATGGTGCACCTCCCTCCACTCGAGCTGAGTCACCCCCACCCCCAGTTTCCTCCTCTGTTTAGCTTTGCCATCTGTCTCCTTTCCTGGCTTTCCCTCTGCCTTAGATCTGGTAATACCCGGGGCTGGCCCGGAGCCGGGTTGTGGGGGGGCCCTCCCAGAGACTCCAGCAACATGCCCCACCTGCACAGGCCTCCTGAGCCCAGACTCTTGGCGCCTCTGCCCCTCACCCTGACCTCTGCCCCCTCAGGGCCCCGGTGCTGTGCCTCCTGTAGGACCCAGAGGACCCCTCTCTGGCGAGATGCTGAAGACGGGACCCCGCTCTGCAATGCGTGTGGTATCAGGTCCTCAGGACGGAGGGGGGAGCGCGGGTGCCTAGCCAGTGTGGGGTGCTGGGACGGAAAACACCGCCGGGGAGAGTGGTTCCCTTGCGGTAGTTTCTGGGCCTGATCTTGGTGTCTTATACCCTCCCCCCCCCAGGTACAAGAAATATGGCACCCGCTGCTCCAGTTGCTGGCTGGTCCCCAGGAAGAATGTCCAGCCCAAGAAGTCATGTGGCAGATGCGGGGTGTCCCTGGGCCCCCACCAAGGCCCAGCTCAGGAAGGGTAAGTCCTTCCGCACCTAGCCGGGCCCATCCGGACTCAGTTTCTCCAGGGAGGAGATGGGCCGAAGCCCTGCTGGGAGGAGTGGGGGAAAACGCTGGCATCTTCGGTGGTCCAGCCTGACTCTTCTCTGCCCCCTCCCATTCAGGGATCCCAGGTGGAAGACCCAGGCCTCAGGCTCCAGAGCCCCAGTCTCGGGGGGCCACTGCCCCCCATCTTGGCCCCTGGTCCAATCAGGCTTGGCTGGGCCTCTTCTCAGAAAATGCCCTCAGCAGTGACGCTCAGGTTGTTAACAGCAATAACAATAAAGAACAAAACTACTCTGAGAAAGAGCACTGTGACTAGGAACCGTCTTGGGCACTCTCCCCCCCTCCCCCACACCCCCGGGGCTTATGGGGGCGGGTGTTTTCTCATTTGGGTTCTGAGGGACTTGCACAGCCATCTACATAGGCACCAGCCCGCCCTGCGGGGAATTAGCCACCTTCACCACAGCGCCCCATACAGGGCGGCGACAGCCACCACATGCACAGACAGACCACACAAGTAGACGGACACGGGACACACATATGGGGCACCTGTCTGGCTCAGCCAATGGAGTGTGCGACTCTTGAACTTGGGGTCGTGGGTTCAAGCCCCCACGCTGGGCGTAGAGATTACTTAAAAAATAAGATCTTAAAAAGAGAGACAGGGGCACCGCCTGGGCGGCTCAGTCGATTGGGCGTCTGACTTCGGCTCAGTTCAGGTCATGACCTCACAGTTTGTGGGTTCCAGCCCCACATCCGGCTTTAGCCCCATAGGAGCCTGCTTCAGATTCTCTGCCTCCCTCTCTCTGCCCCTCCCCCGCTCACTCTCTCTCTTTCTCTCGCAAAAACAAACAAACATAAAAAAGACAAGACAGATACATGTGCGTGGGCTGACACACTCACACTCACACAAGACACACGGACAAACTCCCGTGTGCTGACACTCACGAGACACACAGACCGCACACTGAGGTCACACATCTGCTGACAGGCACAGGTGTCCACAGACGCCAGACACACACGTCAACACACAGGAAGTACACATAGATGATGACACACATGGGCACACAGCGATGCATGCGCCGCAGGCCCTTTACCCCTCCGCCCCACCCCTGCCTGCAGAATGTCACCTTCCTGCGTCTCGAGGCCTACCAGTCCCTGCTGGGTCCCCCGTTCCTCTTTCAGGATCCCTTCCGCCCCACCAAAGTGTGTCCCTAGCCTGAAGCCAAAAGCCACATGGGAGAGGAGGGCCCTGGCCAGACCTCAGCCCTGTCACTGTCACCGGGACACACAGGACACCAGTGCTCACTGGGAGGATGGGTGGGATGCAGCCAGGGTGGGGGTGCCCCCCCCCCCGACAGTGAGCGAGGCCCTGCCTGGTCACATACTCCAGGAAGGTGAAACCCCCTTTGCCTCTCCTGGGTGAGCCTGCGGGGAAGGCCTGGCCTGGATTCCTGGGCCCTGGGCCCCCTGACCGCTGGGCCCCACTGTTCCTCAGCTCCGAACACGCCCCCCAGCCTGGGTCCCGGTAGCTGCTACCTTCTCATTACTGGGGGGGAGGGGCTCAGCCCCACACCACAAATTCAGAGAAGCCTTCCTTGACACCCAGTCTAAAACAGACACCCCATTCCCATGCTACATCGGGCTCTAGTTCAGCTCCCTACTAGTCTCCCTCTTAGAACCTACCAGAATTAAAAAAAAAAAAAAAAAAAAAAAAGAACCTACCAGAATTTCCAAGTTTCTACCACTCTGGAGTTATTTCATTCCCGTTCATCTCTCCACCTGGACCGTGATTTCAGAGGTCCAAGGCCACATCTGTGTCCCTGACCATGACAGGCCACCCCAGTGCCCAGAATGTAGTTCCATGGGGATTCACACTTGAACACACAGAGGTCTCAGACTGTGTGTGAGCTCAGTCTTTTTTCCCCACCTATTCGGCCTTTATGGACCAGCTCCTATGTGCCAGGCCCCAACGGGGACACTATATGGTGAGCGGAACAAAGATCCCTGCTCTAGTGAAGCCAAAATTCGAACGTGACAGGAAACAAATATTCAATTAAATACCCAATAAGTCACGATTGGTGCCACAGAGAAAATAAATTATGTAAGGAGATAGGAGTTGGGGGGGGGTACTTTAGTGATGGTCCTCACTCACAAGGCCTCTCTGGCATCTGTGTAGAGGCCCGTAGGAACTACATGCGGGACTTGGAGATGAAGACAGTCCAGGTAGAGTGGATGGCAAAAGCAAAGGCCCTGCGGCAGGCCTGACCTTGTGAGACCCCAAGGCCGGTGGGAGTGGAGAGAGGCGGTTAAGGGGGCGTGTGTGACAGTAGAGGCTGCACCATGCATGTGCCTTTTTGCCTTCTGTACCCTGGCTAGGCCTCTAGGCACCGCCCCCCCCCCCCCCCCCCCCCCCCCCCCCCCCCCCCCCCCCCCCCCCGGCGCAACCCCCTCCCCCTTTCCTGATCTTACCTTTGCTCAGGAAATGCTTGCCTGGGGCAGCTGATGGACTGGGAGCTGTCCTGGACCGCTTCCCTCTCTCGGGCTCTGTTCCTGCTTTGGAGGGAGGCAGAGACTGCAAGGGTGGGGGGAGGCCCAGCTGTTCTCTCCTTCTGCTGCGGGGAGGGGAGGGAGACGGTGCTGTGCCGTGGGGGCTGCAGCTGATACCCGCGTGCCTCTTCTGAGTTGTGATGGGCAGTCAAAAAGCAGGTTAGGGGTAAACTGAGCCTCCGTGGATGGACATGGGATGGAGGAGGCATGAGGGTGGGGGCAGGGATGCACCCTTTGACAGAAGGGACATCTTGGGGACTGAGGCTCATAACTGCAGCCCTTGTCTGCATTTAATCAACCTGGACAGGAGCTCAATGCCCAGACCCCGGGGGAGGGGCCTCCACCCATCCTGGGAAGGCAGCCTCAGCTCTGCCTGGAACAAGGCCTGGGGAATCACCTAGCTCCCACCCCCATGTGTTTGCCGGGTTAGAGGGCAGCGCGCTGGACGGATGAGATAAGGGGTAGGGAGCTGGCGGAAGGCGTGCAGTCCCCACCCCGGCCCAAGGGTCAGCTGAGAACAGGAAACTGGACACCTCCAGGTCACACCGCATGAAGGCGGCTTGCGCTGCGCCTGACACGTAGTAGGCCCTCAAAAACAAACAAGCAAACAAGCAAAACAAGCAAAAATAGGATATTCCTATTCTGCAGGAATATCCCACGGGGGTTGGCATTGGAACCTCGGGCTGCTTCCACATCGCGGACTGAAGCAGACGGATCCAGAGTCCTTTATAAAAACTTTATTGGGGGGCGGGGTAGAAAAAGGGGGTGACGCCCCTGGAATTCAATAAATAAATACATAAATAAATAGAACAATAAGTAAGCCCCCCTGTGGCTTGGGGGGGGTCGTCCCCCGGCCCGCGGGGAGAGGGAAGCGGGCTCACGCTGACGTCAGCTGGATGGCAAAGACCTCGCCACCCGCCTGCGCCTCCTCGGTGCCCGCAGCCTCGGTTCCACCTTCGGCGGCGCCCGCGCTCCCTCCAGCGCCGCCGCCCGCGCCGTTGAGACACACGGCCTCACCGGAGCTTTCGGCCTCCTGCACGTTATACTCGCCCTTCTTGCAAGCGGTGGACTGCACGTAGAAGGCCAGGCCGGCCCCCGCGGCCAGCAGCGCCGCGCCCCCCGCCGCGCCGCCCACGGCGACCCACAGCCACGGACCTGCGGGGTGGAGATCGTCAAAGAGGGTGGACCGGCCCAAGGCTCCCAAGCCCGGCCTCCTCTCCCCGCCCCCTCCCCCCCCCCCAGGCACGAGATCAGGCCTCCCGGGGCTGGCAGGGAACCCCAGGGAACTCACAGAGAGGGGTGGGGCAGAGGAGAAAGCCCTGAAGGCTACCCCGAGCGCCCAGAACCCGAGGTGTGTCATCTCGGCATAGGAAGCCCCTAGCCCCAGAGTTACCCACAAGTCAGCCAACTCTTCTCACCCCCAAAAGGATGGGGGCGGGGGAGATCGAGTCATTCCTTCACCTCGGAAAACCCAGAGAGGCGGGGGGAGGGGATCTGGGTGGGGGCTCCCCCCACCTGCATCCTCTGCTCTAGGTCCGTCTCCAACCCCCGTTCTCCACAGCAACGGGCGAATTATTAGATCAAATCTCTACCACACATAACCGACCCCAAGTTAATAAGCCCCTTCCCACAGCCATCACAGCCCTTGGGGGTCCCTCCCTTGAGTCCCAGTCGGCTCCCTCTCCCACCACTTCCCACCCCCAACCCGCCATCGAAACCCCACTCGTCAGGGCGCTCCTGATTTCTGCCCTGACTCGCTTCAGTCTCATCTGCGGGGGGAATGAGAGGGACACTAGGACCGGGTCAGGGGCACCGAGGCGCAGGCCACGCCCCCTGCAGATCCTTCGCCCCGCCCCTCCAGCTGCCACTTACCAGCCACGCGCACGGTGATGCGCCGCGCGTGGCGCCCATGCGCGTTGGTGGCTGCGCACTCGTACTCGCCGCCGTGGCTGCCCATGGCGCCCGCCACGCTCAGCGTGCTGTTGTTACTCGACAGGCCGATGTTGGGCGCCCCCGGGGGCGCGCGCCAGCTGATCTGGGCTGGGGGCCAGGCCTCTGCGCGGCAGGTCAACGTGAAGTTCCCACCTGGCCGCACGCCTCCGGGAGGCGAGGCTGCCAACTCGGCCACCACCGGGCGGTCTGCAGGGGACAGGAGGTTGGAGGGGCCGCTCAGAGCCGGTCCAGCCACTGACCTACTGACCTTCCACCCAACCACAATCTGGCAGCGCCCCTCCTCGGATGGGCAGCCAAGGCTCCTGCCTCCCATCAGAGCCACCTCCCCATACGCTAAAATCCTCTGTCCTGCGTCACTGAATGAGAGATGGTGAGCTGCACCGGTGTCCTTCTGACCTTAGAGCTTGAGGGGACCCGGGCTCCTGTTCCCGAGAGTTTTCATTACCCTCAGGTTTGGACGAAGAATCCTTGTTCTCAGGAAGGGGACTGAGGGAGGGGCCTCGAACTGTCCTAGGCAAGCCTACCGCTTCAAGTCACTGCTTTGGGGACTGAGTGCCCTCTATCTGGTGCCGCTCCCACTCACATTCCACGCCCACGGTGACAGTCCGTGCATCCGTGCCATGCGTGTTGGTGGCCAAGCAGCGGTAGGTACCCGCATCTTCTCGGGACACGCGCAGCCGCTGAGGCCTGGGCACGCCCTCCCGGGAGCAGCGCACTTGTGGGGAGGGACGACCCCGGGCGGCGCAGGCCAGCGCTGCAGCCTCGGCTCCTTCCAGCCACGTCTGGTGACCAGGGCAGGTGGACTCATCCATTTGCGGCGGCGCTGCAAAGCAGCCAAGGGGGCGTCAGGGAGGGGCCTGGACCCTGGGGCGCCCCTACTTCCCGCCAGCCTGGGCCCCGCTCACACTCCGTGCTCACGGCGACGGTCTTGACCATGGAGCCGTGCCTGTTGGTAGCATTGCAGATGTAGATACCAGGTGCCAGTTTGCTAGAGATGCTGGGGACACTGGGGCGGGGGTCTGGGGGTGCCAGTGGCAGCAGCATCCCGTCACTGGTGCCCCCCGAGCCGATGCACTCCACGCTTGGCTCTGGCTTTCCATCCACTTCACAAGAAAACAGCTGCCCAGATCCTTCCACCCATGTCCAATTGCTGGGGCAGCTGAGCTCCTCAAAACTGGGGCCATCTGGGGAGCAGAAGGTCACACAGAGACTGGAAGTCAGGCCAAGGTTATCCTCACATACCCCATCCTGCCCTGTGCTGTCCCCACTCACATTCCACCGTGACCGCCACATTTTTGGCTGCAGAGCCTCGAGCATTGGTGGCTTCACAGCGGTAGGTTCCTGCGTGCTCCCGGACCACACGCAGCAGGCCCTCCAGGACCCTGGCCTCCCCAGAGCGCACACAGCTCACGCTCGGCGGCGGGACCCCATGCGCCACACAGCTCAGTGAGACCTCTGTTCCTTCCAGCCACGTAATGTGTTCTGGGCAGCCCACGCTGTCCAGCGCTGGGGCATCTGGAGGAAGATCTGTTGTTTGGTTTGAGGTTTGGGGACTGGCTTAATGGCCCTAGACCCTCTTTCCGTCCAAGGGCGGCCACAAAAGGGTTGGGCAGGCACAGAGACACTGAACCAAAGAGGTTTCGCGCTGGTTGAGCTGCGAGCTGTTTGGAGCCCTTTTTCGATTCCTACAAAGTGCTCACAGGACCGTCCCCAAGTCTTTAGCCTAAAAATTGTTAGAAGGCTTGGAAAATCCCCCTTCCCAAGATTCTGTCCAGATGCCACGCCCCAGACCCTTATGGACACGTCTACTTCTTCCCCTCCCTCTTTCCCCGCCATCTTTCCCCTAATCCCACTCACCAGCGTCTTCCCTTTTCCAAAATCCTGCCCAAAGGCACACTTCAGATCCTGTTCCCACTCTTCCTTGTAGGCTAGTTCCCCCTAGACCCTGAGAAACAGGCAGAGATGTGCTCTGTGCACCCTCACTCACACTCCACCGTCAGGGTCACGTCCTTGACTGCCTCGCCCTGGATGTTGCCCGCAGTGCAGCGGTAAGTGCCGGCGAGAGCGCGAGTCACCGGACCCAGTAAGCCCAGTGCCAGCACTGCCCCGCCGTCAGGCCGTGCGCAGTGCACGGAGGGCGCGGGGTTTCCTCGAGCTTCGCAGCGCAGCGTCCGTTCTGGGCCTTCCGGCCACGTCCAGCTCCTGGGACAGTCCGAATCGTCCAGCCGAGGGGCGTCTGCAGCCAGGTGATCGGGATACAGAGAAGCTAGACACGGACCTTGAGGAAAGGCCGCCCTTCCACGATAGGACCGGGGACTGGGCAGGTCCTTGGAAATCACGAGGTTAGAGGTTAAAGGCCAACTCACATAGGACGCGGAGTTCGGCGCTCTCGTTCTTGCTTAGGGTCTCCCCGTCCACCTCGAGAGTGGCATCGCAGAGGAAGCTGCGCCTGTCGTCGTCCTCGGTGGCATTTAGCTGAAGCTGGGCGGGCTGCCCTGGGACCACGGCTGGAATTCCGTCCAGTGTGACCAGGACTCTGGCCCCAGCTGTGCAAGTTACTGTCACCACCTTCCCCTCTGGGACGGTGGGCTCGCTCAGGGTCAGGACCGGCGCAGGGAAGCCTGGGGACAGGGCATTGGCTGTGAGTCCACTGACCACGCCCCTCCTGCAGTCTAGGCTGACCCTTATCCACCCGAACCCTCTGGGTTCTGCGGCCTGTGGGTACCTCGCTCCGCCCCTCGGGATGCTCAGGCTCCGCCCCTATAGCCCCGCCCGCTTGAGGTTGTCGCTCCACATCTTTCGGGGATCCTCGCTGGTTTTGCGGCTTTCCCCTTCCGGTGTCTCAGATTCCGCCTCTCCAGCTGCTAAGTCTCTGTCCTCCATCTTTCCCACGCCTTAAGGACTTTCGGACCACGACCCTTCCTACACTAAGGCCCCGCCCACTCTTTGCCCCGCCTTCCCGATCCTCTGGCTCCACCCCTGAGCCGCTCCTGGTCCGCTTCACTCCCTCTTACTGTAAACAGTCACGTTCTCCCGGGTCTCGCGGCTCTCGCCCCCCAGGGTCACGTTGCAGACCAGCTGACTGGCGCCCTCCTGTTCCGCACTAGCTGTGGCTGTGGCAGTGGCCATGAGCGCGTCCCCCTCGAAGGTGATATCGGGACTCAGCCTCTGATCCCCCAGAGCCAGGTAGACCCAAGCCTCCGGGGCTGGAAATAGCTCGTCCAAGGAGCAGCTCACGGGGCTTTCTGAGCCCACTTCCAAGAGTCGGGGGGCAGCGAGGCGCGGGGGATCCGGAGACAGGGCTGGGAGTCAAAGAACAGTTTGAATTTATGTAGCCAACACTCAGTATGTACTAAGCGCGTTGCATGCACCATCTTTTTTTTTTTTAACAGATTAAACTTTTTTTAATGTTTGTTTATTTTTGAGAGCGACACACACACACACACACAGACACTGTGAGCAGGGGAGGGGCGGGGCAGAGACAGCTGGACACACAGAATTGGAAGCAGGCTCCAGGCTCTGAGCTAGTCAGCACAGAGCCCGACGCGGGGTTTGAACCCACGAACCATCAGATCATGACCTGAGCTGAAGTCCGGCGCTCAACCAACTGAGCCACCCAGGAGCCCCCGCACCATCTTAATCGTATTATCCTCAAGGCACATAGAGGAAAACAACGTACAGCTGGTGCATGTTGGAATAAGGATTAGAATTCAGATTTCCCTGCCTCCAAACTTAACATTCGCCCGACCCCTTTTCGTCCCCTTCTCGCGACACTCACTCCACTCACTCACCGAAGGTTCGGAGCTGTCTGGGGGCGGAGCTGTTTTCAAAGAGCCCCAGGCCGTGCGGCCGCAGGTCCAGCTCCGCGCGGCAAGAGTAATTGGCCCCGTGGTCCTCCCTTCGCGCCAGCACGGTAGCGATAAGAACAGCGCCGCGCGCTCGGGGTGGCTCCCCAGCGAAGCTGCGCCGGATGAGCTCCTGGGCTCCCCGCAACAGGGTCAATGTGAGGCTCCCACGAGGCCCAGCGCCCGGGACCCTACAGCTCAGGGTAAAGTTCTCGCCCACGGGCTGCCAGGCAGGCAGTGGCCCCAGCTCTACACGATCCGGCCGCTCTGCAAGGGGTAACCACAGCTTTTGGAAACGCGGGGGCTTAGAGGGACGTGGCGTGGAACCCAGGGGCCCAGAGAGAGGGAGCGCGTGGGGATCCGAAGGGTGGAGCCCGAAAGGGAGGACTCTGTGACCCAGGGGGCGGGGCTTGGAAGGGAGGGAGAGTAGTAAGAGTAAGCGTGGCCGCTGAGAACTCACGGAAAGTGCGAATGAGCCCACGCGCCTGCAGTGTGCGCCGCGCGCAGCGGAAGAAGCAGACAGGCTGGGTCTCCGGCTCACGGATGTCCACCAGCTGCCGCGCCAGCCAACGCAAGCCCCTCTGGGTCCCATTCCGGCGCAGCGAGGTCTCCAGGCCACCGCGCTCAGGTCGTGGGCAGTTAGTGCTGCAATTCAGCCACAAAGATCCCCCGCGCTCCACGAGCGCCACGCGGGGCTGCAGGTCCGCCCAAAAGGGCTCCTGCGCGAGCGCTGCCCAGGGAAACGTGGGCTCAGCCTGGGGAGCCACTTTCCTGGGATCTTAGTGCCCCTGTTTGAATTAGGGATCCTCAGGGAATTAGCAGGGGGCGAGAAAGAACTCAGGAGTCCTGCATCCTGTCCCGGCCTCAGGTTTGGAGGCGCGCTCCCAGGGTTCAAACCTCGAGGGCATCTCTGGGACATGGCAGCGGAGACACCCCCGTCTCCAAGGTGCCCATGGAGTGATGGGAAAGCATGGGGGGAGGGGGGAGGGGATGAAAGATGGGATCTTTGACGCACACAGCAACGGTGGGAGGAGGGGGCCTCGTGGGGAGGGAGGAAGGAAAACGAACTGGTTCTCAGGATTCTTGCCGGAGAGGGGGGAGACAGGTTGAGGCGAGGGCAAAGGAGAGGTGAGACTGAGTCAAGCATAAGTGAGGACCCCAAACCCGGGAGAAGAACACAGAAGGCTGGCGTCTGGGAAGGAACCGCGGTAACAGCTGAGGGACTCGGTTGCCAGGGCTCCGGATGGAGCGGGAATAGCTCCTCTGAGTCACGGCAGTTGGAGAGATCGGGTCTTTTCCGGACCACGAGTGAGGAAGATGTCAGCCCGTGGGCCAGGGTGCATAACAGAGCGTGGGGAGGTACCCCGGAAGGGGACAAGGGAGACACGGGGTAGCCAGGGCATGAGGTTGGATTCGGGAGAGCACCCAGGATCTCGAAGAAGAGGGTAGGGTAGAGATCAGGGCGAGCGAGGAGTCTGGAAGCTGGGTCTCCAGTGTATGTCGGTGGCAAGAGGGATAGAGGGGGGAAAGGCCAGGGCTCGAGGTGGGGCAGAAGCGTGGGAGTGGGGCGAGAGGAGGGCGGAGCCAGGAAGGGCTTGGTGGCCGCTTATCTGGCCCGGGAACTCCGCCCCCACCCTGTCCACCCTGAGCCAGGACCCGGCTCTTACCTGAGAGGCCGAGGAACCCGAGGCCCAGGGCAGCCCAGAGGCCGAGCAACGGCCGGCACAGCCCTGGCGAGGGCCCTGGCATCGCCGCCGCGGGGGGAAGCGCAGGAGGTGAGGAGAGCGCGAGCGCTGAGCTGGGCGAGAGGACGGCGCGGCGGGTGGGTTGTGGAGGAGGCAGAGTTGCGTTCGGGGATTGGTTTAACGTTGGTAACTTGGTTTCCAAGGAGGGGGCGGCGGCAGAGGCGGCTGGGGGGCGGGAGGGCGAGCGTGCTCCCGGCCTTGGCGAAGGCGTGCTGGCAGGAGCAAGCGACCCCCGGGGTCTACGTGGAAGCCCGCCCCATCGCCCGGAGCCTTCTGGGGGCGGCCGTGCGCTCCCGCGTCATCCTCCGTGGCGAAGCGGAGGTCGGGGGATGCTGGGTTGCCCTTCTCAACCCCCCCCCCCCCAGCTGGGATGCCGGGATAATGAGCTGGACTCAGAGCTCCGCCCCCATGGTCCGCCCCCCCACCCCCGCGCCCCTTGGGCAGGGGCTTGAGGGTTTGAGGGCTAGGAGATATCTGGGAAGAGCAGGATGCGGGGAAGGCACAGTTCTAGGGAAGGGTGGAAGGGTGTGGGGAGGCCTCCCTCAAGAATCCTCCTTTTGACCCGGAGAGCTGTGGATTACAGCCACGCCCCTAGTCTCCCTCCGGCTCCGCCTCCGCACGCGACAGAGGGGGTGGGGACGAAAGTGGCAGCGAGTCGGGAACACGTGTGCATGCGCGCAGCGTTCGCGGGCGTCTAAATTAGGGTCGGCTCTGCTCTGGGTCTGTATTTACCCGGCGTGCAGCGGGCACGTGTCTACGCGGCGTGTATGAGCTCAAGCCTCGCAAGAGCGCCCCTGAATCCGCTTTCTGCGCGGTGGGCGGGGCCCTGGGCCGCAGGAGCCCTGCCAGATACCCAGTGCGGGCTCGGATTCTGTCCACGCGAGACCAAGAGACCAGCTATAACACTGCGACCCCTCATCTGGGCCCCAAGCTTTGACACCCCCGCATGTGCCCACCAGGCCTGGTGACTTATCAAGACGTTGCCAGGACGCGAGTCTATGACACCCCACGTGGGCCATCTGATTGCTCTTTCCCCGCAGTCACCACATGGGTACTTTTTCTTCGTATCTCTGTCCCTCAGTGTGTCATGTGCCCCTCTTATTTGTGCTCGCCCCCCCCCCGCCCCGGGCACTAATGGTGAACTGTGGGGGCCAGTTCTCTCTCCACCCCTGTTCAGGAAAGTGCTAGTTGGGGGGGGGGGGGGAGGAATAGGAAAGGAAACTTAACATCCAATCAGAGCTGCAGCGTGGCAGCAGCGGAGCCAATCAGGAAAAACCATACTGTGAGCCACCCCCACCCACAGCCCAAAGCCCTCCAGTGCTCAAACTGTGCCTATCTGCACCCCTCTGATAATGCCTGCAGAAGAGGTATTTTACCACACTTGGCCGGGGATGCAGAGGGACTGGGGCGCCCAGGTCCCCAGGTGGTTGAGAATGAGGGCTGGGACAGAGGCTGACTGAGGAAGGCTTTATTGAGCCAGTCAGGGTCCCCCAAATTACTTCTGATTCCTTCTTCCTCTGGCTCAGCCGTCATGGACCCCCCCCCTCTACGGCCCGGGACTGCATCAATAGCCATTTCCGCAAGCAGGCGGCCCCCACGACGAGAAGGATCCCCACAACGGCTGCGATGGAGGTGGAGGCCAAGACCTTGGGCGCGGGGCTCCAAGCTGGGGACAGGAGGTAGGTGAGAATTAGGAACATGAAGATACGACGACCCGTCCGGAGCTCCCGCTTGGCTCTCTCACCCTGCTGGGATCGTCACCCTCCCCCACCCCTCCTCAAGTCTCCAGGATTACCGAGGGGCCTCACCGAGGACTGTGAGCGTCATGGGTGCCGAGCTGCTACGGACCACCAAGCCATCAAGACTGAGGCGTGCGTGGCAGGTCACGGGCTGGAAGAAGTCGCGGGGCCTAGCGGGTAACGTGTAAGTCAGCGTCACATTGGCCAGATCCAGGCCGGTGAAACGCTCCAGGTTCTCAGAGTAGATGATCCGGCCGCCGCGCCTCAGAGTCACCACCAGGAAGCCCACGGGGAATACGTGTGTCACGTGGCAGCGCAGAGTGTACTCACTGCCCACTAAGACTGGAGGATCCAGGATCACGCTTTGCGGCTGTTCTAAAGCAAGAGGGGGCCGCTGAGCAAGGTGCGCGTGCGCCCCCTAACGCGACTGTCAAATACCCACCCCCCGTCCCCCTCCCCTCACCCCAGGAGAGCCTGAGCCCCAGTCCCTCACTGTAGGCGGTGATCTTGGCCGTGGCCCCCCGCGTTTCTCCTGCGCAGGTGACGAAGCAGCGCACCTCGGAGCTCCAGGCCCTCACATCCACCAGCTCGTACGATACCCAGCCGGGCCCACTAAGCGTTCGGCCCCGCCGCAGCCGGGTGCTGAGGCTGGAATTCTCCGGCAGGGGGCAGCTACTGCTGCAGTTAAGCCACACGGAACTCCCCGGCGGCACGGCCTTGAACTCCGGGCTTACGCGCACCCAGAAAGGCACGGAGGTCTCCGAGGGCGTCGGGGAGCTGCCTCCGGGGCCTTGAGTCCGCGCAGCCCGGCGCCAACGCGCGCTCCCGCCTCCCCCGTAGGTCGCCGCCAGCAAAGCCAGCAGCGAGACGGGGAGCAGAGACCCCATAGGAAAGGACCCAGACTGAAGGGGCCCACGCCAGGGAGCCTAGGCTGGCCGTGGAGATAAGGAGGCCTGCAGCCCCGCCTCCTCAACCCCACCCGGAGAGTCAGGGGCCCCTAGAGGGCCCTGGAGCCTGCGTAAAGACCCTCAGCCCCTCCCCGGGCTCAAGGATGGGATTCCAAACCACTGGAAACCAAGGGCCAAGAGTTTCTGAAGAAGAATCTTTAATTTTCGCTAGCATTTTAAGAGGTTCTCAAGAGCCCCAGATTTGGATTAGAGCCTCAGGGGTGGGACTTGAACCGGCAGCCTTTTCTGGGGGGAGGAAGTGGGAGGACCAGACTAGAAAAGGCTCCAGCTGGACGTGACCTCTTCCCTTAACTCACACCAGGCAGGCGCACGAGAAAAAGCTTTATTAGCACAAAAAAGAGGCTTCCGGAACTGGGAGGGGATCCTCCCAGGCCTCTCCACCCGACTGCCAGCAGGGTCCTCGTCCCCACAGGAATTTGGAGTTGCGGAGTGCTCTGTTCTTGCATGGTCCCACTGGGATGGAACCAGGTAGACAAAGCAGGGACACACAGGGGTTGGGCAGTTTCATGGGACTCCATGGTTTAGCTGCCAGTGAGTGGGCGTGCCACGTGCCACTGTGAGCACTCGCGGACACGCTCATGGGCAGAGGGGTGGTTAACAGGTCAGTGTCAGAGATGGGGGGGTGCGGTAAGGGCTCAGTGGGTTATCCCTGGGCAGGTTACCAATGAAACCTTATCACTGCTGCCAGTCCCCTTCTGGGGGAAAGCAGCTTAGACAATGGAGTAGGAAATTCCAGCCCCAGCTGATCTTTTTGCCACACACTCCGTTGCAGTGCGCAGCCAGTACAACTGTACCTGGCGGCCCTGAATGAGATTAGACTGAGGGCTCCCTGAGGACAGGAACCTACGTTCCTTTTCTTTACCATTTTAGCCCACATAAAAGGCACTCAATAAATAGCCTGCAGGAGAACAAATTAATAAATACATCATCATCCAAAGTTGGGGACAGTCCATGGACAGCAGCGTTGGGGCTGGTATCTGTCAGAGGAAGGACGGGGACATGTGTCTCCATGCTGTGGGTGTTTGTGCAGGCCACTTCTCTCTAGGACTGGGGGGTGGGTTTCCCTGTTTCCCAGCTGGGTGCCCCGTGTTAAGTGTCCCACCACACACCCTCTGGCCAGGACAGGCTTCCGCACCCTTCACAGTCACGACCCAAAATCTCGTCCCCTCCTCGTGGCTCAGTCCTGTGGCGACAGGTCAGGTGTGAGGCTTGGGGATCCAAAGTGTGCATGTGCCTCGATCCCAAATGCTGTCTCTATCCTGAGGCCTCGGTTCTGTCCCCGGGAGTCCTGGGAAGGTGGGTGGAGCTGAATGGCTTGTGACTGCCACTGTTCAATGTGGCATCATCGTGGGGGGAGGGCCGAGGAGGAGCCCCCTTCCCGGACAGGTTCAGGGGGGCGTGGCCGGTGTGTTCAGCTTCATGGCAGCTGCCTCCTGGGCCTTCTGTAACTTGTATTTCTGGATCTTTCGCTGACGGTTATAGAGGTAAGCGGCTAGGCTCGTGATTCCTACGGTGAAAGCAATGGTCACCAGAATGGTGGTGAGGATGTGATTCCGGTGGTCTGTGGGGAGGACACAGTGGGTGATGAGGGTTCGGCCAGGCTCACTGACTCCGCCCTGCCCAGCCCTAAACAGCGGCACACTCACAGATCACGTTCACGACCACTTCACGGATGACCTCACCGCGGGGGCTCCTGGCCTCACACACGTAAGTGCCCGAAACCTCCCGCTTGACAGGCCTCAGGTCCCCAGTGGGCAGCGGAGCACCATCCCCCTTCCGGTGACATTTCAGCTCAGGAACTGGATTGCCCCAAGGCTGGCACTTCAGGGTCTGCTGGGATCCTTCCTGCCACGTCCAGTTTCCCAGACAATCCCTCTTGTCTAGTCGGGGGCCATCTGGAGAAACAGAGCAAGATGAAGGCTGAGGTCAGGGACCGGGACACCCCTCACCGCCCGGGACAGGAGGACTCCAGGATCCAGGATCTGGGGAGAGGGCCGGGGGGGGACCCTCAGAGGGCAGGAGCTCCTGGGGTCTTGGGGATTAGGAGTCACTGTCTGGCAGCTCCACTCACACAGGACACTGAGCTTCCGGGTCCGGTTCTTGTACACCACCTGTCTGTCTACCTCCAGGGTGGCAGCGCAGGAGAAGAGGCGCCCGTTGTCCTCGGCACTGGCGTTTAATTGGAGTTGGGCCCTGGGTCCCGGAGACGGTGCTGGAGCCCCACTCAGCATCACCGTGACCCCGGGATGGGCTTCACACTCCACGGTCACCATGGTCCCTTCGGAGACCTCTGGCTCACTCAGGGTGAGGTTGGGAGCCGGGAAGCCTGGGGGCGGGGCACAGGGTGAGCACAACCCCCCAGCGTTGGCCCCACCCCTTGGGAGCCCCGCCCCCTTCTCTACTTACTGTAGAAGGTCACATCCTCCCGCCAGGACCGGCTCTGGTTCCCCAGCGTCACCACGCATGACACGTGCTGGGTGCCCTCCTCTTCCATGTTTGCCTTGTCATTGGTCGTGGCCAACAGGGAGTCCTTGTCGTGCGTGACTTTGAGGTGCAGATTCCGGCCCGCCAGCTCCAGGCGGACTTGGGCCTCTGAAGCTGGGAACAGCCCGTCCATGGTGCAGTCGACAGGCCACTCTGCCCCCACTTCCACAACCCTGGGGGTGGCAAGGTTTGGGTGCTTCGCTGGCAGGACTGGCGAGAGAGGGTGAGTGTGAACACAGAGGGGACGGGTCACCTGAAGCCCTTTCCTGGGGGCATTTTCATCCCCCCATCTGGAACATCCTCTTCCCAGGAGCCTCTGTGGCCTGGGGTCACCCCTGCCCGGCACACATACAGGGTTACCACCTTCTCAGATCCTGCAGCTGGGGCACCCCACCCCAGTGCACCCCACCCTGGTAGCCAAGAACATGCTCTTTCCAGAAGCCTTTGTAATCTAGGTGACCACCTCAGCACCCCCACGGCCAGAGGGCCCTCTTCCCCACACCCCAAACAGGAACACCCCTCCCCCCAGCCCATCCTCTCTGGAGGCTCCCCAGTGCCTCACCAAAGGTTCGCAGCTGCTGAGGGGCCGAGCTGTTCTGGAACAGTTCCAGCCCTCGGGACCGCAGGTCCAGTTCCGTGCGGCACGAGAAACTGGCGAGGTGGTCGTCTCTGCCCGCCAGCACCGTGACCGTGGCCTCCGCGGGCTCCCCGACGGCCGGCTGCCGGCTCAGCTCCTCCTCCCCGCGGAGCAGCACCACCGTGAGGTTGGCCCGAGGCGCCCCGCCAGCCACCAGGCAGCGCAGGGTGAGGTGTTCGCCCACGGGCTGCCAGGTGGGTAGGGGTGCCAGCTCCACGCGCTCCGGCAACCCTGGGGGGGGGGCGGGGGGAGGTGTCGTGTGAGCCAGAGACGCTGCCCGCCGGCAGGGGGCGCTGGGGCGCCGGCCACACCGGGCCCAGGAGACTCCCCCTCTCCTGCCCTTCACACAACACACCCCAAACCACCTAAGCACGACAGGAATGTTAAGAGCTTCAGGATAAACCGGTGGGAAGTCCCCAGGTGGTTGGGAAGGGGGCAAAAAACCCCAGTCTTTATTCACTGCAGCGTCTAAGAGTGCAAAGTGGAAAAAACCCTCATGCTCTATCATCTGGAGTCCCCGGCGTGAATTTGAACTGCCCAGTCCAGTAGAGATGGTTTTGAAAAGACCCCATGCTCCCCCTTCTCTTCTTCTTCTTGGCCTTATTTTTCTCTGACACCCAAGGATGCCACACATCTAGTCAGTTAACTTGTTTCGCCTCTATTTCCCCGCCACGCCACGTAACTTCAGCTCTGTTCCCTGATCTGTTGCTGGCACACAGTAGGCTCTCTGTATTGATAGAAACACTACAGTTGAGTCACCCGCGCTGACTTAAGGCCTTTCAGGAGCCCCCTTTTAAGGGAAAGAAGTTCCCAAAGGTGCTGTGTGGTCCCCTGAAATGTTAAAAATGCAAGAACCGCCCACAGCCACTCAAAACGAAACTCCTGAGTACCCCCCTGAAAACACATGTGGGCTTGGGGTTTGCAGGCCAGGGTCCCCGTCCCACATAAGGTGACAGTTTCAAGCCAGGACTGAAAGTGAGAATTGACAGCCGTGTCCCAGTGAGCTGTGACTTAGCACTGAGACCGCCGGGTTTGATTCCTAGCTTTGGGGCTTCTGTGACACGGGCTGTAGCGGGGGGCGACTTGGCCCCGGAAACAGCTCCAGCTCTCACGGTTGGAGAAATCGAGCCTCAGTGTCCCGAGCTACAAAATGGGCTATTGGAGGTAAGACTTTCATTAATGCATTTAAGAGGTAGAAAGAATGACTATAAGTGGACGTGAGGTTTCCTTTGAGGTGTGATGGAAATGTTCTAAAATTAGGCGGCGGTGCTACTACTCTATAAATACCTTCAAACTTGTTGAATTGTACACTTGAAGGGGGTGACTTATGTATGGAAATGATATCTCACTAAAGCTTTTAAAAAGATAGAAGGGCAAGAAAACCCCTGTCCACTGCTTACCCCTAAGCACCTGCTGCAAACACCAGTGTGCAGAGCTAGTGCAAGCCTCAAACCTCAGCCCCCGAATGGAGCTCGTCCCTCTGAGCACAACTCCTTGCCCTGAAGCCCAGACTGGGGGAGGAGCTCTTGCCCCCACCTCTCCCTGAGCCCCAGCCTTCAGTACTGGTTAGTTTACTCTTCTAAGTACCCCCCCTGCCTCCACCCAGCCACTGCCCACACATGTGGCCTGGACAAGGTCCACGGCCACTTGCTCGCTGGCTTCCCAAAAGGCCAGCCTTCTGCTAATGATTTTTTTAAGTTTATTTTGAGAGAGAGAGAGACACGTGGGAGGGGCAGAGAGAGAGAGAATCCCAAGCAGGCTCCGAACCGTCAGCGCAGAGCCCGATTCGGGGCTCGGACCCGCGAACCGGGAGATCATGACCTGAGCCGAAACCAAGAGTTGGATACTTAATGGGCTGAGCCACCCAGGCGCCCCAGCCTCCTGCTCTCTAGATCCCTGGTTTGCTCTCACACCCTCCATGGCTCCCTACCACCCTGAGAAGGTCCCCACCAATCTGTTGGTATTCAGCCCCTCCTAACACCCACCCCCTCCATTCAGCCTGTTCTCCCACTCAAACCTAGGCTGTGTCCTCTGCCCTGAATGCCCGTCTAAGCAAACTCCTACTCACCCTTCAAGGCCCAATTAGGGGTCACTACAGGAGGTAATACTTTTCTCCTTTCTAGAGAAAGTTCAGCCACCCCGGGATCTTCCCTCATCTTTACACCAGGGCTGGGACAGGACCAAGCTAGATAGAGTCCCTCCTAGGTGACCCCCTGCCTGGGTGCGGGACGTCAGCTCCCTTTCAGAGAGCTGGAAATTAAGGCAAAGCCTGGTACTCAAAGTCAGAGCACTGGGCTTTCCACTATCATCCCCAGATGCAGAAGTCCCCCAGGGACGTTTGCCGGGGTTTTACAGGCCTCTGGGAACATTTGGGGGCTCTCCTTGGGAGCCAGGATCTGCGCAGACATGCTCCAGATCAGAAGCAAAGCTGCCATTTTTCCCAAAGGCCCTGCCCAGGCGCCATGATGGTGGCATGTCCTTCATGCCTCAGTGCATCATTGCATCCACATGAGGAGCTCTCGCGGCAAAGTCGGTCAACAAGCCGTGTCCCTCGTGGTCACCCAGTCCTCAAGGGCCCTGCTGGGGCTGGAACCCAAAGCTGTCTAACCCCGAGACTGGTCGGCTGGCTCCCTTTCTGTCGTTTCTTGTTTGTTTGTTCCGTTTTGTTTTCATCTGAATTCTATTTATTCATTGCCTACAGTAATCGTAGTTCTCGTGGTTCCGAGTGCCCAGAGGAAAAGAAGGCACATGGATGGGGCGCCTGCGGGGCTCAGTCGGTTAAGCGGCCAACTTCGACTCAGGTCACGATCTCGCGGTTCATGAGTTCGAGCGCCGTGTCAGGCTCCGTGCTGACAGCTCAGAGCCTGGAGCCTCCTTCGGATTCTGCGTTTCCTCTTTCTGCCCCTCCCCTGCTCACGCTCTGTCTCTCAAAAATAAGTAAACATTAAAAAAAAAAAAAAGAAGGCACATGGAAAAAACCGGCCAGTGCCCTTTCCTGGAGCACCCCTCCCCCAGCGCCTCTCTCTCTCATTTCTTGGATTTCCTCTCACGGCTCCTTTATGCATCAACAAGGGCGTCCTTCACCCCACCCTGCTGCTCCTCAACACCAAGGATGGCATGCCACTCGTTCTGGGCACGCCTTCCTTCTCTTGAACTTGACGGGACACCTGGGAGCTCATTCCTCTTTCGGGACACGGGAGCTTCCTCCTTCTCTTTGTGCGGTTGCATACTACTCCTTCCAGTGATCAGACTACAGTTTATACCCCCAGCGCCCTATGCCCGAGTGGCTTGGATGCTTTTGCCCTTGCAGATAAAGCCGCAGTGAATGACCCCATCTGGCAGCCGCTCCGCTCCCTCGGGGGCGGGGACACATGTAAGCCCAAGTGTGAGGAATGGGATTTCTTTGCCAAAACAAATGTGTGGGCCATTTAGAGAACTGACACCCACTTCCCCGCTCAGGGTTCTGCTTCTCTATGTTCCCACGTTCTCAGCACTGGCCCAGGACTGCTTCCTTCCCCACCGTCCGGCCAGCATGGTTGTTAGCCACTCTTCGGACTGCTGCCACTATGTGAAAAATGCCATGTCCCAGCTACTTTTAAATGGTATCTTCTTTAAAAAAAAATTATTTAGTGTTTATTTATTTTTGAGTGAGAGAGAGACAGAGCACGAGCAGGGGAGGGGCAGAGAGAGAGGGAAACACAGAATCCGAGGCAGGCTCCAGGCTCTGAGCTACGAGGACCTAGCCCGACGTGGGGCTTGAACCCATGAACTGAGAGATCATGCCGAGCCGAAGTCAGACGCGATTAACTGACTGAATCACCCAGGCACCCCTAAATTGCATTTTCTGTTTTGTTAATGCTGATTTATTTTGAGAGAGAGAGAGCGTGCATGCAAGCAGGGGAGAGGCAGAGAAAGAGGGAGAGAGGCCCAAGCAGGCTCCGCCCTGTCAGCGCAGGGCCCAAAGCAGGGCTTGAACCCATGAACTGTGAGATCCTGACCTGACCCAAAATCAGGGGTTGGACATTCAACCGACCAAGCCAGCAGGTGCCCCTAAACTGCATCTTCTTTTAAAAAGTCGTATCTAGGGGCGCCCGGGTGGCGTAGTTGGTTAAGCGTCTGACTTTCGCTCGGGTCATGATCTCGCGGTTCGTGGGTTCGAGCCCCGCGTCGGGCTCTGTGCTGACTGCCAGCTCAGAGCCTGGAGCCTGTTTCAGTCTGTGACTCCCTCTCTCTCTGACCCTCCCCTGCTCACGCTGTCTCTCTCTCTCTCCCAGAAATAAATAAAACATTTAAAAAAAAAAAAAAAAAAAGTCGTATCTAGAGGCGCCTGGGTGGCTCAGTTAGTTAAGCGTCCGATTTCTGAAGATGTGCCCACCGGTCCTTTGGCGAGCCAGTTCTGTCCCCACCGCTAAGCAACAAAGGCTGCCCCAGCCTGAGGGGACCCCCACGCGTCCACTTCTGCCCCACCCCCAGCCTGCCTCATCCAGCCCCTGGGCCCAGCCACTCACAGTACACGGTGAGGTGCATCTGATCCATCGTCTGTGTTTGACATTGTGAGAAGCATATTGGAGAGCTATCTTCTTGCACATCGCTCAGTTCAAAGGTCTTCCAGTTGTCCCCATGAGCCACTTCCGTCTTAGTCAGCTGAGTTTCCAGGCCCAAGAAAGAGGGATGGTCACAAGAACTGCTACAGTTCACCCGCACAGTGCCTCCTCGGGGTATGATGGCGTTGGGGGGGTGCACTGAGGTTTGGGCACCTCCGAGTCCTAGAACAAAAGATGGGGGACAGGACAAATTGAGCTCAGCAGCAACTACCGCGTATCCGGCCTGGGCTGAGTGCTGGGCACATAGCCTGCGCGAGGCAAAACTCTGCCTTCAGTGTGGGAGACAGAAAAAATTCGCAGGCAAACAAGATAATTAGGAACTGATGTTAATAAGAGCTTCGGCAAAAGCAAAACAGAGTGAAAGAACAGACAGTGACTTGGTGACAGGGTAATGCATGAGGAGAGATTTGAATGATGAGAAGGGACTGGCCATTCAGAGAAGAGAGAAATTAATCCTAGGCAAAAGGCACAAGTGCAAAGGTCCTGAGGCAGTGTGGCCGGAGAGAGTGAGTGAGGGGGAAGAGCTGGGAGAAATGAGGTCAGGAAGATCGATCATGTGGGCAGTGCAGGCGGTGCCAAGGACAAGTTCTTCATTCTGAGGGCAATGGGGAACCACGGAGGGCTTTAGCAGAGGAGGGACATAAAGTCAGTGTGCTGATCTGACCCAAGATGTGAGGTAGAGGAGGCTAGCCCTCCGGGAATGGAAAGGTTCCAGTTATTCCCTCCAATAAGTGGTCTCCCCTCCCAAGGCCTCAATTTCCCCTTCTGTAAGGCGGGTAAATATAGTCATCCCAGCCCCTGCTTAATGCAGCGGGCTCCAAGCACAAGGCAGGCAGTGCCTGGCTGCAAGGAAGAAAGGGGGTTGTGGTGATTAGCTCCCTCAGACTTCCTGGTGCCTCCAAAGCTGGAAGAAAACACATCTTTCTGCCCTCCCCCCGGCTATGCCTCTTCCAAAGATTCCTGTCCCCAGCTTTGGGTCTCCTCTGTCTGGGGGTGGAGGTGTGGGAAAGCAGCAGCTCCGTGAATTCTCCGAGAGTGATTCGGGGATAGTTCCCACTTCACAGAGTGAAATGGTGAGGCTGGGAGACGTGAAGTTACTCAGCTGAAAAGCAGTAGAATTCATACTGGCATCTGGACCGGAACCCTTTGCAGAGATGGCAACCACAGATGTCCCTTTCCCACTCTCCGCTTCCCAACGCTGACTGCCATTTGCTCCCCCCCAATCTCCCCTCCCTGCAGACTGGGGTTGGTGGAGGGGTGCTGGGGCGCGCCTCTGGTCTCAGGGCAAGTCAGCCCTGGAATTCCCCTGAGCAGAGGCAGTCCTGGACTTCCCCAGGGTGAGGGGCGGGGGGGGGGGGTTGGGTCGGGGGGTGGGGGAGATATGCAGGAGGGATGAGGAACATAATGTAGTGTGTTGGGAGGGGGGGGTCCCCAGCCTACTCAGCTTGGCACGGGACTCGTCGCCACACAATCTGACCGAGTCCTGGAGCCAGGCGTGGCATTCGGCCAGGACACAACCATTTCGAGGGGGCCGCTATTACGTTCTCCACTGTACAGCTGAGAAACTGAGGCCTGGGAGCCTCCACCTATAACTTGAGGCATCGCATGGAAGTGATACAGGGTCTGGATTCGAACCCACGGCTGCTGACTTTCAACCCGTGGCTCTAGCCCCAAACTTCCCATAAACAGCTACCTAAGGACGACTGGGGCTTGTCCCCAGCCGGTCCTCCCAGTGCGTCCAGGGCGCAGCCGGGATCCCGGGAGTGGGCCCGACGGCAGCCCCCGCTCCCCCCCGACTCACCTGGGAGCAGAGCTCCGATGAGGGCCAGGAGCGCTGGCAGCGCGGGACGGACGGCGGCGAGAGCCATAGCGCGCCGATGCCGGGCGGACAAAGACCTGCGGCGGCACAGACTGGCGCATGGCCCCGGCTGGCGGGCCTTTTATATTGGCCGGGTCCGGGGGGCAGAGGGGCGGTGCTACTTTCCCGGAAATCTTACGCCTTCCCCTCCGGAACGAGGGCTCCGGCATTTCCGGATTGAAAAAGTGCCGAGCCTTAGTCGCGTTGTCCCCCCTCGTCGGCCGCCCGAGCGCTGGAATTTCCGAACTGAGGCAATGAGGGGCGCAGCGGCCGGGCGGGCTCGGGGAGGGGGGGGTGTGTGTGGGGAGGGGGCTGCTCGTGGTGCTAGAGGTCCCGACCCGGGGCCGGGCTCACCGCGGTTCTGCGGTTGCGCTGCTCGCAGCGCTCTACTGAGTTCCGCCAACTACCCTGGACGGTAGGGACTGTTATTGTGTCCATTCCACAGAGGGGTAAACCAAGCCCCCGAGCTGCGAGGGGATTCGAACCCTCCTGACTCCCCAGCGCAGGCAGGCCTCTTTAACCTAGTGGCCGCTCCGTCTTTAGGGTGAGGACCCAGGAATCGCTTCGAGGCATTCTCCGTCAAGGGTGCCATTCCCGCAAGGGGCAAGTCCCCGCCCAGCTGACACATTTCCCAAGAAGCGGCAGGAGCAAGCCTGGGCACATGCGAGGGTCCGCGAAAGCTGGGGGTGAGGGCTCGAGGCGTCATCACGACCGGGGGCCCTGCATCCCCCCCCTCCGACGCCGCTGCCACCCCCACGGCCTCGCTTCCCCTTTCGGCCTCCGTCGCGGGGGCGTCTTTACAGCTTCCAGAAAAAGGAAGGAAGCCTCGTGGTCCTGACGCGCGGAGGCCCCCGCTGCCGTCCCCAGGCTCCTCGGGGAAACTGAGGCAGCACATCTTGAATGGAGAGAGGGCGCTCGGACCCTTGCCTTCCGCAAGGAAACAGCTCCTACGCCCCGAAGTAGGGCGGGGGGAGGAGGAGATCAAACTCCAAGCGCTACACCTGGTTCTTGAAACTTGAGCTCGGCACGAGCGGTCAATTTGTGCGGATATTTGCTGGGGCTAATTCCATTCGGGCGGGGCACGGGGCGAGGCGTCGCGTCTACAGACCGCCGCCACGCCCCCCCGCCAAGGCCACGGCCTACGCGTGTGACCCCAAGACTTGGCATCTATCTGCCACGTCGAGGCTGGGGACCCTGGGTGCGCCTGCAGTGCCTACCCGCGCCGCCTAAGACTTTCTGTTGTGGGACGCGCGCCGCGTCGCCATGGAGACCTCGGAAGGGCCAGGGAGGTCGCGCAGCAGAAGAGGAAGGGAGGGGGCCCGGGGGACGTTCGAGTCCTTCCTTCGGAGGATGGGGCTTCGAGCCACTCGTCAGCTAGAAATGCATCGCTCCTCCTGCCCCGATCATTCCTAAGGAATTTCCACGGGGATCTTTGTGGCGGGTGTGGTGGGTGCTGAAACCCCTCCCCGAAATGCCTGCGCAACGCTGCAGGGTGGGAGGGGGACGCGCCACGCCTCGAAGGGACTGGGAAAATCCTGTGCGGGAGGGAGGGGGGGGTTCTTTTCCGGCGGATTTTTCTCGGGCTCTCTGCTCTGGGCCCCTAGACCTCCGTCCGCAGTGCGCGGGCGACGAGCTCCCCCGCGCGGCCCAAGGCTTCCTCGCAGCCATAAAAGCGCTGTTCTTTTCGGATCTCTCCCGACAGGCCCCGCGGTGCCTAGTGAGTGCCTGCTGTGCTAGGAATCCTTCCCGGTGGCTGGCGACACAGCAGTGATAAGAAAAGACAAACATTTCGCCATTGTGCAGAGATGGATTCAGTGGCAGGGGACAGATAAGAAACAAAAGATGTATGGGGTGTTAGTTCGTGATTAGTGCCGAGGGAAAGTAAAACAGGAAGGGATAGGAAATGTGAGGGCTGATGAACTTAGAGTGCTCTGGGGAAGACCGAGAAGGTGACATTTGAGCAAAGACACTGGGAAGTGAGGAGGCTCCTGTGACCAGGAGGGAATGCATCAGTGAGTACTGAATGTGCAAAGGCCCTGGGGTAGGGACAGCCAGGAGGCCGGGGTGGCCCGAGTGCAGTAAGGCAGGGAGGAGGAAAGGAGGGCAGGGAGGAGAAGGTGCGTGCTTGTCAGTCTGCAGAGGACTTGGCTTTTCTTCCCAGTGAGGTAGGAGCCATGGGGGTTCTGAGCAGAGGAGGGACGGCCCCTGCGCAGGTGTTCACAGGCACCTCCTGAGACCCCTGGAGCTCTATTCCCGGGCCAGGGAGGACAGGATGGAAGCCAGGAGGCCAGAGAGGAAGCAACTACTCTAGTCAAGGTGAGCAAGGATGGGGGCTGCTCTGGGCAGGGGCATCGGAGAAGTGGTTTGACGTCTGTTTTGGTGGCAAGGTCAACTGCGCTTGCTGGGACGGACGTGAGGACAGAGCCGAGTCAAGGACGACTCCTTGGTTCAGGCCTGATCCGCTGGGAGGATGGAGAGCCGTTTCCTGAGATGAGGATGGGGCGGTAATGGGGGCCAGGTTGGCCAGAGGAGCGTCCACCTCCTGTCTTGCGTTCCCTCTGTGTTTCCGCCAGGAAAGGAGAGCAGAGGCTCTCAGCCCTTCCCCAAAGCTGCCAGGAAGGGCAAGGCTTCCTCCCGGGTGCCAGGCAGTCTTGGGCAGAATGGAGCCACGACAGACTAGAGGCGGCGGATTCGTGCCCCACTTTGTGCCCCGCGCCTGCTCTCCCTTGGCTCGCAGTTCTCGCATGGCCACCCCGCCCCTCCCGGCAGCCTCGGTGAGCCTCTGTCCCTGAGCATTCTGGGCGTGCTGTTCCTCTAAGGCCAGAATTCCCTTCCCACCATTTTTACAGAAGGTTCTCAGAGCATTTCATCCACAAGGTTGTGATAAGACCAGGACAGATTGGGATTTGAATCCAGGCCCTGATAGCTCAGCAGCTGCTCTACTGGACGCTCTCCCCAAAAGCAGCCCCGGGAACCAGACTTGGTGTTCAGGTGGTTTATACCCGGGAGGGGGAGTCTGGGGGGAGTCGGGGAAGGCAGCCAGAAAAGCGGTGTGTTCGTGCGGGGTTCCCCTCTGGGGGGCGCTGTGGTTCAGTCGCACCCAGGAGCCCCTTGGAGGCGGGCCGACTTTTTGTGCCAGTCCCTTGCCTCGCAGGGTGGAGGCTGCGCCTGGGATGTCAGCTCCCCAGTACTTCGTTACTTCATGTATATATTTGTTTATTTATTTAAACAGGTTTTTTTTTTTAATTTTTAAAAAATGTTTTATTTATTTCTGAGAGAGAGAGAGAGAGACAGCGTGAGCAGGGGAGGGTCGGAGAGAGAGGGAGACACAGAATCTGAAGCAGGCTCCAGGCTCTGAGCTGTCAGCACAGAGCCCGACGCGGGGCTTGAACCCACGAACTGTGAGATCATGACCCGAGCCGTGAGATCATGACCTGAGCCGAAGTCGGACGCTTAAGACCGAGCCACCCAGGCGCCCCTATTGAAACAGTTTTTAGTCACCGCGCTGTCCATCTCCGCCCCAGGACCTATTTACCTTATAACTGGAAGTTTGTGTCCTTCAACACCCTTCTCCCAGTTCCCCACCCCTGCCTCTGGCAACCACCGATCTGTTCTCTATATAAATTCAAGTGTTTCTTTTGTTTTCCTTTAAAGTTTATTTATTTTGAGAGACAGAGAAAGGGAGAGAGAGAGCTCACCAGCAGGAGGGAGGCAGAGACAGGGAGAAAGAGAATTCCAGGCAGAATTCTTCACACTGAGAACAGAGCCAGGCGCCTGATCACACAAACCATGAGATCCTGACCAGAGAGGAAATGGGATGTTTAACTCAACTGAGGCCTCCTCAAGTGTTTGTTGTTGTTGTTGTTATTTAAGATTCCACATATGTGACACCATGCAGTATTTGTCATTTTCTGATTGATCTCACTTAGCGTAATGACCTCAAGGTCCATCTGTGCTGTAGCAAATGGCAAGATTTCCTTCTTTTTTTTTAAATTTTTTTTTATTTTTATTTTTATTTTTTTTTATATTTTTATTTATTTCTAGGAGAGAGAGAGAGAGAGAGACAGTGTGAGCAGGGAAGGGCCAGAGAGAGAGGGAGACACAGACTCTGAAATAGGCTCCAGGCTCTGAGCTGGCAGTCAGCACAGAGCCCGACGCGGGGCTCGAACCCACGAACCGCGAGATCATGACCCAAGCGAAAGTCGGACGCTTAACCGACTAAGCCACCCGGGCGCCCCAAGATTTCCTTTTTTATGGACGAATAGTATTCGTGTGTGTGTGTGTGTGTGTGTGTGTGTGTGTGTGTGTGTATCCGTTCATACATTGATGGACACTTAGGTTGTTTCTGTGTCTTGGGCATTGTAAATAATGCTGCGGTAACGTGGAGGTGTAGCTATCTTTTCAAGATACTGATTTTGTTTCCTTCAGATAAATATCCAGAAGTAAAATTGCTGGATCATATGGTAGTGCTATTTTTAATTTTGGGGAGAACCCACAATACTAGTTTTCAAAGTGGCTGTGCCAGTTCACATTCATATGCTGTGTGTGTGTGTATATATACATACACATACGTACATATACATGTATGCGTATATACATATGCTGTATAAATATATACTATATATATAAATTTGAGAGTTTCACAATACAAAACTTACTTTTTGCCTTTTAAAAATTTTCCTGTGTATTTACAATCTTGTACAATCATCACCACTCTTTGATTCTGGAATATTTCCATCACTGTCCCCCAAAAACCTGGTACCTCCCAATCCCCTCTCCTCTCAGTCCCCAGCAATCACGGATCTTTTTTTCTTGGCTTATTTATTTTTGAGACAGAGCCTGAGTAGGCGAGGGGCAGAGAGAGAGGGAGACACAGAGTCGGAAGGAGGCTCCAGTCTCTGAGCTGCCAGCACAGAACCCGACCCGAGGCTCGAACCCACAGACCGCAAGATCATGACCCGAGCAGAAGTCGGACACTTTACCGACTGAGCCACCCAGGTGCCCCCCGGCAACCACTAATCTATTGTCTCTATGGGCTTGCACATTCTGGACATTTCCTATAAATGGAATCGCATGCTAAATGGCCTTTTGTGTCTGGAGGCTTTCCCTTCGCCTAATGTTCGTGATGTTTAGCATAAGGTTTCATCCGTGTTATAGCATGTATCAATATATTTTCCTTTTTTTAAAATTTAAATTAAAAATTTTTTATTAAGATGGAGCCCAATGCGGGGCTCAAACTCATGACCGTGAGATCAAGATCTGAGCTGAGATCAGAGGTCGGACACCTGACCCACTGAGCCATCCAGGCGCCCCTGTACTTCTTCCTTTTTATGGGTGAATAATATTCTACTATAATGATATGTCACATTTAGTTTGTTCCTTCATCTGTTGAGGGCCACTTGGGTTGTTTCCACTTCTTGGCTATTGTGAATAATGCCACCCTGAACATTGGCATACAAGTGTCCGTTACAGTCCCTGTTTTCAATTATTTTGGGTTGACTTCATCTCTCTCTCTTTTTTTAATGTTTATTTATTTATTCTAAGACCCAGAGAGACAGCGAGCGTGAGTGGGGGAGGGGAAGAAAGCGAGGGAGAGAAAGAATCCCAAGCAGGCTTTGCACTGTCAGTGCAGAGCCCGACTCAGGGCTGGAACTCACAAACTGAGATCATAACCTGAGCTGAAATCTAGAGTCAAACTCTTTTTTTTTTTTTTAATGTCTTTATTTTATTTTGAGAGAGAGACAGAGAGTGAGCAGGGGAGAGAGAGAGGAGACATAGAATCTGAAGCAGGCTCCAGGCTCTGAGCTGTGAGCACAGAGCCCAAGGTAGGTCTCGAACCCACAGACTGTGAGATCATGACCTGAGCCGAAGTTGGACGCTTTACCGACTGGACCACCCAGGCGCCCCAAACTCTTAACCAACTGAGACTCCCAGGCGCCTCTGTACTAAATTTCTTTTTAGAGCTGGCTAATATTGCATTGTATGGAGATACGACATTTTGTTTATCCATTCATCAGCTGATGGACATTTGGGTTGTTTTTCCCTTTTGGCTATGGTGAATCATACTGCTGTGCACGTTCATGTACAAGTGTTGGTGTGAAGATTTTTTCAGTCCTTTGGGGAATATACTTAGATGTGCAACTGCGGGTGGGGGAGCGCCTGGGGGGCTCAGTCAGATAAGCATCTAACTTCAGCTTAGGTCGTGATCTCCAGGTTTGTGAGTTTAAAGCCCCATGTCAGGCTCTGTGCTGACAGCTTGGAACTTGGAGCCTTCAGATTCTGTGTCTCCCTCTCTCTCTGCCCCTCCCCTCTTATGCTCTGTTTCTCTCTCTCTCTCTCTCTCTCTCTCTCAAAACTAACCATGAAAAAAAATTTAAAAAAATTTTTTTAACATTTATTTATTTTTGAGACAGAGAGAGACAGAGCATGAGCCAGGGAGGGGCAGAGAGAGAGAAGGAGACACAGAATCCGAAACAGGCTCCAGGCTCTGAGCTGTCAGCACAGAGCCCCATGCGGGGCTCGAACCCACGGACCGTGAGATCATGACCGGAGCCGAAGTGGGATGTTCAACCGATTGAGCCACCCAGGCGCCCCGAAAAAAAAAAAAAATTTTATGAGTTCTACTTTCTACACATCCTCATCAATACCAATTTCCTGTTTTATGATTACTGTTATTATTACCATCCTAATGGGGTAGGGGGAAGTGATATGTCATTGTGGGTCCCCAGTCCTTCTGATCAGCCCAGCAGACAAGCCCAGCACTGGCAGCGGGGGCGGGGGGAAAGGAGGCGGGGGTGCAATCACGGGACAGCAGGTGTTAAGGGTTGTGGTCAGGTTGCTGAGAGCCCGTGTCATAAGCTGTGACCTTGAGCAAACCCCTTCCCCCGGTTGCACGTCGACAGCCTCAGCTGTAGGATGGGATGGTAGCCCCTACCTCAAAAGGTGGGCGTGGGACCCCAATAATAGCATGTGTGCAGCGTCCGGCGAGCAGCACTGAGCAAGAACGGGTAGTAGCAGCCGCTATGTCTGTTTCATTAGGACTCAGCTCTGAGAATCTCCCCTCCAACTTCCCAGGCAGAAACACACGCTTCCTCTGCGTTCCCACAGATCGGGCTGATCCTGACACCGCATTGCGTCCTCCTCGCAGCCCTGGTGCATGAAGCAGAAATGCGTGTTGTTTACATCTCAGTCAGAACACAACTTCGCTTCCTCTTTCACCCCTTTGTTCTGCGGTGGTGGAATCTTTAATAAGGGAACCCACCCCCTGGCCGAGAGTTCTGCCCAGGACTCCGGCCCGGATCCGTGGCATATTCAGATCTCTGAACTTGACTTGATGTTCGATTGGAGCCCCGGGCCAGGCCTCGCCAGGCTGGAGGCCTCAGTGGAGAAACAGGGTCTGGTGTGTCTGCTGTTGACTCTTCTGTCTGCCTCGGCCCTTCTCACGAGCCTTTGGGTCCCTCCTGCCCAGGTGTGGGAAGAAGGGAACGGGACGGGGCGGCTGGCGGCTTTGGCCTCTTTGGGTGACCCAGTGGTGCGTTAACTTGAATCCACTCCTGGTGGATTTGGTGGGTATGTGTTTGGGGGAGGGGGTGCTCTGAGGCTTTCTTTCCTAGACACCCCTTCGTGTGAGTGGGGACACCTTGGGTCTGGTTGTAGCTCTTCCCCCAACCCCCCCCATTGGGCCTCCATCCTGACCCCCAATAAGCAGACACCCTGAATCCACCATCCAAGCTGCCTGCCGTTCACCTCTAAGTTTCCTAGGAGTCCGATCCCAGCCCCATTGGCTCGATTTTGCTTTCACTTTCTTTCTTTTTAAAAAAATTTTTTTAAATGTTTTATTTACTTCTGAGAGAGAGAGAGAGACAGCGTGAGCAGGGGAGGGTCAGAGAGAGAGGGAGATACAGAATCTGAAACAGGCTCCAGGCTCTGAGCTAGTGGTCAGCACAGAGCCTGACGCGGGGCTCGAACCCACAAACTGTGAGATCATGGCCTGAGCCGGTCAGACGCTCAACCCACTGAGCTACCCAGGCACCCCTTCACTTTCTTTCGTGTGTGTGTGTGTGTGTGTGTGTTTATTTTTGAGAGAGAGCACTCACGAATGTACAAGAGTGGGGGAGAGGCAGAGAGAGAGGAAAACGGGCTCTACGCTGATAGCAGAGAGCCCGAGCAGGGCTTGAACTCACAAACACGTGGATCATGACCTGAGCTGAAGTTGGATGCTTCACCAAGTGAGCCACCCAGGCGCCCCCATCTCTCTCTCTCTAATTAAAAAAAATTTTTTTAATTTTTTTTTTTTTTTTTTTTTTGAGAGAGAGACAGAGACAAAGACAGAGACAGAGCACAAACAGGGAAGAGACCGAGAGAGGGAGACACAACCGAAGCAGGCTCCAGGCTCCGAGTGGTCAGCGCAGAGCTGACAGCGCTCCTGTTAGGTCGTGTTTCTTTTTTTTTTTTTAAAGTTCTTTTTTTTATATTTTTATTTATTTCTAGGAGAGAGAGAGAGACAGTGGGAGCAGGGGAGGGTCAGAGAGAGAGGGAGTCACAGACCGAAACAGGCTTCAGGCTCTGAGCTGGCAGTCAGCACAGAGCCCGACGCAGGGCTCAAACCCACAAACTGCGAGATCATGTGTCAGGTCGTGTTTCTCATGCCCTTTTTCACCCTTGGTCTGCCTGCTGCCATCCAGCGTGCCGCACAGTTTCTGACCCTTCTCTTCACGGTCTGCGTGGGCAGAGGTTGGCCTTGCCGTTGCCTGACTGCCGTGAGGAAGACAACTCCGCAGCCTTACTTCTAGCCTCAACCATCTAGAATAGTCTGGGTGCCGGTAAAGAGCTGGGTCTCGTTCTAAGCCTCGAGGGTCTGCATGGCCGGCCAGAGACGCAGGGAGAGGGAGGTGAACAGTTTGGCTTTGGCCCGAGCAATGTTTTCCCACCCGCCCTCTGCACCCCTTCTTACTACTGGCTCCAAATGGCTTTTTTACTTAGTCAAATCTGGTGCTTTAATGGATCAAAGTTTGTATCCACAGAGGATTTTCAAAGACTGCGTTATGAGCTCTGAAGGCACTCCCCAGAGAGGCATTCCAGAGATGTTTTTGGCCAGGGGCAGCCCAGCCCATGGGTGGTCACTGCAGCCAGGCAGGGCCTGCGCCCGCAGGTGGCAGTTCTGCCTGACTTTGGGATTGCCCGCATTGCAGTCTGCGTTAGGACTGTTAGAAAAAGATGAACAGGGGGAGCAAACATCAGCAGACTCAAGAATTAGGATATCAGTTTGGGGGGCGCCTGGGTGGCTCAGTCGGTTAACTGTCCAACTCAGGTCATGATCTCACGGTGCATGGGTTCGAGCCCCACATCAGGCTCGGAGCCTGAAGCCTGCTTCGGTGTCTCCCTCTGTCTCTGTCCCTTGCCCACTTGCGCTGTCTCTCTCAAAAGTAAGTAAACATTCAAGAAAAGGTGTAGGGGGGTGGTGCCTGGGTGACTCAGTCAGTTAAGTGTCTGACTCTTGGTTTCGGCTCAGGTCATGATCTCATGGTTTGTGGGTTCGAGCCCCACACTGGGCTCTACAGACAGTGTGGAGCCTGCTTCAGATTCTCTCTCTCTGCCCCTCCCCTGCTCATGTTCTCTCTCTCTCAAAATAAATAAAATAAAAAAAAAAATTTTAATATAAAAAAGAAAAAGAATTTGGATACAAGTTTGGTGTTTTCTAAAAAACGTGTTTATTTGCTCATTTATTAACCACATGGATTCAGACTCTGCTTAGGGGAAATCGTGACGACAGCTCAGGTTTGCACTTCCCATTTTTAGACTCAAACCCAAGGCTTGGCATGAAGGACCATGACCAAGGGCACCACAGAGCCCATCAGGGACGTGAATTCGTGGTGACAGTGCTCGGGAATGGGGGACAGCAGTGCTGTTGGCTCCTCGCGTCTGAGTCGTCCTTGGGAAGCTGATTGAAGGTCACTGCCGTCAACAGCCCCGAGGCTGCCCCGGAGGAGAGGTACCCAGCAGCCCGGCCGTTGCACTCAGGAAAGAGCCTGATTTACCAGGTGGAATTATTTACAAAATAATCCGTTTCTCTTCTCGGATTAAAAAATAAAATTTACCTTAAAAATGAAGGAGAAAATTGGGGGCCAGAGTTCAGTCGGGCTCTCTGCCAAGTCACCTCTTCCTGGTAGTGACGGCCGCTCGCCACATGCCCGCCGGCGGCTTGGCCGACTCAGAGCAGCCGCTGGGCGCCGAGCTGTCCAGGAGGGGGGCGGCCCCGCCCTCGAGGGGCACAGGGCTGTGGCTCAGGGGAAGTCTCGGTAGGGCAGGCGGAAGGGGTAGAGGGGCGTGTAGCGCGAGTCATGCCAGAGCAGCTTCTCCTCCAGGAAGGCGACCGTCCGCAGGGTCAGGACCAGGGTCTGGTGTTTGAGCATGCTGTGCACGTTCAGGCCTAGGGGTGAGGGGAGAGGGGTGGTCGAGGCTGGGCTGGCCTACCGCACCCGGGGCCCCTTTTCCTCCCTGTGTTCCCTACTATGGGGGCACCAGCGTCTGGTGTGGGGTCATGACTCTTGCAGTCTAGCGGCTTACTGCTGGCAAGACCCCAGGCAAGGGGGTGTCCCCGGCTCAACTTCTGATCAAGAGCCTCCTGCGTGCCTGGCTCCGCCCTGCGCTTGGGCTGTGCTGCTCACCTCACGCAGGGAGGCACCTACCATGACCGGGGCACTGACCCTGACATTAGGCAGAGCAGATGAATAAACAACGCACTGCGGGAGGCCTGGCCGCCTGCAAGTGGGGAGGGAAAGGGGTGGAGGCGAGCTCAGGGAGGGGATGGGTCAAGTCATGCAGGAGGATGGGAAGAACTTGGGCTTTGACCGGGAGGGAGGCGGACCCCGAGGGCTGTGGGCAGAGGCGGGCGCCCTCTGGTGGCCGCAGGGGAGAACAGAGTGTAGAACGAACCAGGGAAGACATGACCCCGCAGGGCCAGGAGGGAGATGGCGGTGCTGGGTGGGAAGGAGTGGTTGAATTCTGGATTTGTGAGCCGACAGGGGGAGGCAACAGACTGGAGCTGAGGGTGACGGCATGCTCTGGGGCCTGAGCCTCGTGTGCCAGGGTGCCTGTGAGGAACCCCCACCCCCCCAGCACCTGTCAGAATGTAGCCAGATGATGCGCAATCAGGACACAGAGAGAGCCCTCTGGGGGCTGAGTCACTGTGGTGCCGGGTGGGACACGCCCAGGCCGGATGGATCCCACCTCTCAGCCTCTCTGAGTAAGGAGCCCCTCCGTGCCCGGCACCGAGGCCTGAGCTGGGACTGACACAACCTCAGAGCCTTTCTGTAAGGATCGCATTTTCCCGATGCTGGGGGAGGGTGGCCACTGCCCAAGGCCGCCCAGCTACTGAGTGAGTGGCAGGTATAGAACTTGAACTCGCCCATGGACTCTTGGGGCCCCAGGGGGAGAACCAGGGCCCTCGGCTCACCGACGGCCGGGATCAGGTTGAAGGTCTTGAGCCCGGAAGCGGCCGCCACAGCGTTTTGAGGCATGTCCTCGTGTGCTCTGAAACGGAGGCCAGGAGGTGAGCACTGCAGAGGACGGCACCCCCACCCCCACCCCTGCTCTGCCCCGCACCCTCACACGTCCACAAGGAGCACAGAGTCCCCCCAGTGGCGGTAGCGGGCCAGCTCCGTCAGGTACTGGGGGTCCGAGGTCGGCAGCTCCAGGGAGTCTACAATGTGCAGGTCATCCTATTAGGAAGAAAGGATGGTCGGAGCCCCACCACGGCTCAGGCCCCACGGCCCACACCCTAGGACCCCCGCGGCCCCTGTACCTGGGCCAGCTTGACGGTCAGTGCCACCTTGAGGCCCTGCACCCGCACTTTCATGGGCAGCATGTAGTAGTAGCTTGTGGGGCCCCGGGGGCCGTGGGCAATGCCTCCTGCAGAGACAGCGGGGCGCGGACAGGTCAGGGCCCCCGCTGGGCTTGGGGCCAGAAATCTGTCACAGTGGCTGGCGTAGGGAGGCTGCCAGCAGGCAAACAGAACCGACAAAGAGGACGGGGCCTCGGGTAGAGATGGAGACGGGATGCTGTACTGAGCATCACCCGGGACAGGTGACTTTCCCTCACTGGGCCTTGATTTCCTCGACTGTCAAACCCTGAGTGAGGGTCCTCTGCTGGGCCCTGGGAGCGCAGCAGGGAACAAGATGGACAGGATCCCTGGCCTCCTGTCATTCCTATTCAGACACGGGTGCATCGGCAGAGGGAATCAGGGCTGTCTTTCTGGGGCAAGAAAGGAGTTTTTGGGGATGGGAGGCCCAAAGGAAGTCAGGGAGGACTTTCTGGGGGAGGAACAGCCCAAACACATCATGAGGAGAAGAGATGGCCATGGGAGGTGGGAGAGGATGTGGAGGGACAAGGCAGGGGGGAGGGGAGGGGGCCTGCGGGCACCCGTGCCTGGAATGCCAAGGTAGGGAGCTCAGACTTCCCCAAAAGGCTGCAGGAACTGGGAGGTTTAGAAAGAGAGCGCCCCGGGTGTCGTGTGCGGTACAGGCCACGAGAAGTGAAACGGGAGTCAGGCCCAAAAGGGGCTGTGGCCACAGTCTGACGAGAGAGGCTGAGGCCGCAGCGGGCGGGGGCTGGGAAGTGGACTCTCAGGTCTCTGACCCGCACACGGGCAGTGAGGTCCGTGGGCCTGAGTCCTGCTGCCCTGCCCAGGGAGAAGGGACGGGACTGACAAGGTGTCACCCCAGATGTGTGTGCAGAAACACAAGGACCCCCCCTACCCCGCCTCGCTCACCTCCTCGCCAGATCGGGGAGCGGATGCTGCCGTGCCTAGAACGCCCAGTGCCCTTCTGTGGCCAGGGCTTCCGGCCCCCACCCTTCACCTCGGCCCTGGTCTTGGTCTTGGCGTAGCTCTACGGGCACAAAGGGAGGAGAGGGTCAGGCTCCCGAGGCAGACGTCGTCACGGCTTAAAGACAGCAGGCCCGGGAAGACAGCAGCGAGCTGGGCAGACTGGCCTTGGCACTGGGGAGCCCGGCAGGGACACAGAGATTAGGGGCCCGCCGGGACAAGCACACAGCACTGTGGGAGGGAAGGAAGGGCAAGGAAATCAAGAGTTCCCTCGTCCACTCCAGAACGTGAGCCTCTCTGCTGCCTGGCACACAGCAGGTGCTCAGTATTTTCTGAATGATTTTAATGTGGTGGCAACTGAAAGGAAGGTGTGGCGCGGGGGAAGGTGTGTGCCGAGGCTAGAGGAAATCAGGGAGAGGTAGGGGGTGGGGAGACGATGAGGGACTTCCAACGCCAGGCTGAAGACTTCATTTCTAGGACCAGGGTGGACCAGGGAGGAGGACTCACTAGGTCTCGGAGGTAAGTGGACGGGAAACAGAGAGACCCTGATTGATAGCGGCTTCTTCAATGCACTTGACAAAATCTCCAAACTCCTCCCCATTGCTCTGCCGGCCTCTGTGACTGCACTCGCCTCCCTTTTGCTCCTGCCGCAGGACCTTTGCATCTGCTGTTCCCACTACCTCTACCCTAGGGCCACTGCCCCCCTTTACCTAGTTAGCACCTACTACACACCTGAGGTTCAACGTCCCTTTCTCTGGGCCAACTTCACTAATTACGTATTTACTAGTCGATTCGAGTTCACCTCTCCCGACTAGACTACGAGCTTCGTGAGGATAGAGATCTTGCCTATCTTGTTCCCGAGCACGGTGCCTAACGCACTGTGGGTGTTCAGAAAACACCTGGCAAGTAGCCCATCGGTGAATGGTTCAGAAGAGAAGGGAGAAGGCCTGGGTCTAGCAGTCCAGGAACTTCCCTCTGCCTCTCTCCCCGCCCTCCCCCCGCCCGTCCCCCCCCCCGCCGGGCACTCACAATTCTCTTGAAGTTCTTTTGCCAGATGGCAACCTGATGCAAGATATCCATCCTACGGAGAATGAAGAGGACGTGAAAGGTCCACCTCCCACTGAAGTCCTCCCCACCTCACCAGATGCAAACAGGAGCTCCTCCCTTCCGGTTCCAGGGCCCTGTGCCATCCGCCCCCGCCCCCCTCTGGCCACCTCCGGGCCCGTGCCATCTCCATTCTGTGAGATGGGGTCCAGCCTCCGTGCCTTCGTGCTCACTGTTCCCTCCGCCGGAAACGCTCTTCCCCTGGCTGGTCCCTTCCTCAGCCCAAACAGCATCTCTGAGAGAAGCCTCCGTGCTAGGAAGAAAGCTACCTCTTCCTGCTTCTCACAGTACCTTACTCTCTAGTCCTGAGATTCCATTCAGCAGACACTGGCCACGGGTGTGGCTACCGAATGCCCGAACCGTGGCCAGTGCCACATGTTGAAATGACAACGTCTTAGATACAGCAGGTTAAATACAATAAATGATTGTTTCTTCCTATTTTTTTCCCCTAATGCGTCTGCTAGCAAAATGTAAATTCTACGTGTGACTCACATTACGTGGCTACATCGGACGTGACTGCTGGGATTGGCAAACCGAGGCTAGGCGGCCACATCTGGCCCGCTGCCCGTTCCTGTCAATATGTTTTACTGGAACACGACTCCGCTTTTGCTTACAAACTGTCCTGGCTGCTCTTGCGCTACATCAGAGATGAGTGGTTGCCATGGCGACGTTATAGCCGGCAAAGCTCAAAATATTTACTGGCTGGCCCTTCACAGGAGAAGTCTGCTGACCCTGCTCTAGACTGTAAGCAACACTGGCAACCTCAATGCCCATTCCCGGCTGTATTCCCAACAGCTAGCATGGGATCTGGCACGTAGCAGATGCTGCCTAAGTATTTATAGAATAAACAAAATATGTTGTTTTTAATTTCTTTTAAGTTTATTTCTTTGAGAGAGAGAGAGAGACAGCGCATGCGTGCGCCGAGGAGTGGGGAGAGACAGAGAGAGAGAATCCCAAGCAGGCTCTGCCCTGTTAGTGCAGAGCCCAACGCGGGGCTCAACTCACTGACCGTGGGATCTTTTTTTTTTTTTAATTTTTTTTATAGTTTATTTTTTGAGACAGAGAGAGACAGCATGAGTGGGGGAGGGGCAGAGAGAGAGGAAGACACAGAATCTGAAACAGGCTCCAGGCTCTGAGCTGTCAGCACAGAGCCTGATGCAGGGCTCGAACCCATGAACCATGAGATCTGACCTGAGCTGAAGTCGGACGCTTAACCAACTGAGCCACCCAGGCGCCCCTGACTGTGGGATCTTGACCTGAGCAGAGATCAAGAGTCAGATGCTTAACCCACTGAGCCACCCAAGCGCCCCACGTTGTTTTAAATTTAATTTTGTCGCCCTCAACTAGATTGGGACTCTGTATATGGTTTTGGTTTTTTTTTTACATTTTTAAAAAATGTTTATTTATTGTGAAGGAGAGACAGAGCACGAGTGGGGGAGGGGCAGAGAGAGAGGAAGACACACAATCTGAAGCAGGCTCCAGGCTCTGAGCCGGTCAGCACGGAGCCCGACGCGGGGCTCAAACTCACGAGCTGTGAGATCATGACCTGGGCCCAAGTCGGACGCTTCAACGACTAAGCCACCCAGGTGCCCCTCTGTATATGTTGTTTTAATTTCTCTTGTCACCCTCTACTAGATTGGGACTCTGGAAAAGCAGGGGGGCAAACCATACCAATATCAGTAATAGTAACAAATTAACAGCACTTATGGGGCAGATATGATGCACTTCAGAAGCATCATAAACTTTGGCCAGCCAGAACCCAGCCCAAGAAGCTGGTCCACGTAAGGTTGAGATCCTGGCTCTAAATCTTTTTTTTTTTTTTTTTAAGTTTTTAAATGTTTGTTTATTTTTGACAGAAAGACAGAGAGGAGCAGGGGAAGGGAAGGGAAGAGAGAGAGGGAGACAGAATCCGAACCAAGCTCCAGGGTCTGAGCTGTCAGCACAGAGTCGAACATGGGGCTCGAAGTCACGTACTGCAAGATCATGACCTGAGCCAAAGTCGGATGCTCAACCGACTGAGCCACCCAGGTGCCCCTCCTGGCTCTAAATCTTACAAGCTATGTGACACTGAGCAAATTTCTTAACCTGTCTGTGCCCTCAGCTTTCTTATCTACAAAGCAAGAATAACTGACCCTAGGGTTGCTAGGAGGGTCTACTTAACCAAACTGCAAACAGGCTACGCCAGGCACACAGTAAGGGCTTAACCGTCGTCGGTGCTCATTTTTACAAAACTCAATTAACAGCAACGATAATCTATACCTATAGAACTTTTTATGCGCCAGAATTAACCCACCTCGTCATCACAGCAAACTCTTGAGGTTTGACAGAATGGGGACACGGAAACACAAGAGAGGAAGGCAGGAACCTGAACCCAGTCACTCACGCGTCTTAACCCCTCCGGGATGTTACCTCTCAGATCTCAACCTCACACAACTCTGTAGCGGGGAAAATCATCATCCCCTTTTGGCAGGCGGGAGAAACAGAGCCTCGAGCCCAGATCATCCTGATTCCCAAAGCCCCGCGTCGCATCCCTCTGGCACTCAGTCCACCGTTTCACTCCCACTCACCTGGGCGCCGTGGAGAAAACTTCGGGGTGCAGTTCGGCCAGACCCACACGCTCCTGCTGGTAGTCTCGCAGGGACTCCACCCAGGCCTGCACCGGACGCCGGGACGCGGGGACCGGGAGCTCGCACCTGCGCAGCACGGGCGCCTGGGGACCTGAAGCCATTGGGAGGTCAAGGGTCAAGGCCGAGCGTCGGGGCTCCCGGTCGCCGCCCCTCCTAGGGCGACCCTGGCAACCTCACCCGCGCTAACTACTGCCTCTGGCTTCGTCGCCGGCTGCACCGCCTCTTCCGCCAGCGCGTTCAGGCCCTGTGAACGGTGGGCGAGCGTGAGCGACGGCGCCCGGAAGCGCCAACCTTTGTCCTCCCACCCCGCCCCCAGTACCCGGCCTCACCCGGCAGCCGGTGGGCCGAAGCCAGGCCCGCGCCCCGGCCCGTACTAGCTGCAGCATTGTCCCGCAGCTCCCCACGCGGAGAGGTCGCGGCTCCTTCTGGGTGTGCCGGACGCTTGGAGATGACGTCACGCCGGCGACACCGCCCACCCCGCTCGGCTCGGCGCTGGAAAGCTGAGTGCGCCAGAGCGAAGACGGCGGGGCCTGGCCCAGCGTGGGCCTCCACCTCCGCCCCAAGACGAACCCCCAGGCCCCGATTTTCACGCCTGGCCTAAAGGACCCTGTGCGACACCTGAAAATGCGACTTACAGCAAGCAGCCGCGCCTCCTGCACACGCCCAGCCCTTTTTCGGGGTCCCGCCCCCTAAGAGCAGGAATTCAGCCAATGAGACCTCCGTGCTGGAAGGTACCCTCTTCGTTCAGCCAATAAGCGTTAAGCCTGGAAAAGTGGCCCGCCTATGTCTGGGCGGTTCTGGGGCGGGCTCTAAGAGAACACGACCAATAACTGTTACGTTTTTGATGTCGGGCATGCCTTCCATGCTCCTCCGCGTCCCGCGTAGCTTCCTATAATCTCTGAGGTTTTGCGGTTTCCTATAACGAGCTTTTGTGTGTTGAAGTGCAGGACCTTATCTCTCACGGAAAGCACTTAGGACTGAGCCTGGGGGACCGTGCCTCTTCTCTCAGATGCCCCAAACCAGGGGTACGTTCCCCCTCAAACCAAAGGTTAGGTCTGTCTTCTCCACCTCCTAGGCCAGGGTGCTGTCCGCTGTCAGACCGCTCTCCGAAAACAGAGCGAAGTGGGGAGTCCGCAGATCCTGGATCGCCTCCCTCATTGCTCATCCTTACGGAAATTCAAATGTTCATTTTTAGGTTCTTGACCGCTTTCTCCGCGCGACCTCCAGAGGGCGTCACGAACCCCTCACTTCGCTGCCCCGCCAAGTCTGAAACTCCGGGTTGCCAGGGTGGCCTGGATTAGGATCTCAGTGGCCTAGAACGTGGTCTGGGAGCCAACCTCAGTTGCCTCATCTGGAAAATGGAGAGGTCGTGAGACTTCAATGAAATGTTGAAGGTCAAGCCCGCCATGCCTTGCACAAAGTGAACACTTAATGATGATATTATTATTGTTGTTGTTGTTATTGAAGGTAAGTTTTATCATTAAAACAAGGCAAGAGCCAAAGCAGGAGTGAGGTGGAACCCGGAGGACTTGAATGCTATGCTAAAGATGTGGGTGCTTTTTTTTTTATCTTATCTGTATCAGATATTTTTGTGTGATATTAATAAAAACTTACTTTGTATTTCACTGTTTACTCTATTCCTGCTGGAATAATTGTGGGTGTGAATTTAAAACTTCACAACTGTGGCACCTGGGTGGCTCAGTGGGTTAAGCGTCGGACTTTGGCTCAGGTTATGATCTTGAGGTTTGTGGGTTCGAGCCCCGCGTTGGGCTCTGTGCTGACAGCTAGCTCAGAGCCTGGAGCCTGTTTCAGATTCTGTGTCTCCCTCTCTCTCTGACCCTCCCCTGCTCACGCTGTCTCTCTCTCAGAAATAAATAAAACATTAAAAAAAAAAACCAAACACCTCACCTACTTTCTAATTTAAAAAGGTCCTTAAATCCTTTATGTTGTAGAATTCTATTCATTCATTTTATGTTTGCATAGGTAATTCACACACCGGGTAAAGAAAATGTGAACAATTACAACAAAAGTATAACTAGAATGAAATGTCTCCTCCATTCTCTGACTTCTGCCCCTCCCGGTTCCTCTCCCAAAAGCCGCTACTACAACCGTGTGTCTCCTGCCAGAACCAGTTTATGATTTCACAGGCAGATTTACAAGTCTGTCCTGCGCCAGGAAGTTTGGGTTTCATGTAACAAATGATGGAACAGTACTTAGTTGCTTAATGATTTATTAGCCACTTACTGTGTACTGCGTGGGTAAATCCAGCAGACATTAAGATACAGTGCAGTACAGAAGACTGAGGAATCAGAATAGAGGAAGAGAGGTCTACAGGGTCTGTGGAAACCCAGGGGAAGAACTCTTCACCCCGGGGGCCAGGGGTGAAGAGGTGACTTCCCTAAAGCTGTAACCTGAGGGTTAAGGTTTGAGGGTCCATCAGGAGTTTGTCCAGAGGAGAAAAGGTGTTCCAGACTGAAGAAACAGGATTGCAGAGGCCGGAAGTGGGGAGAGAGTGGCTTCGAGGTAGCCGTCTGGACCTTCCTGATGGCAACTCATTCGAGTTGAACCCACCGCAGGGCCTTTGCACTATTGTTCCTTCAGCCCGGAACCTACTTTTCCTAGGTCTTCGCATGGCTCTGTCTCTCACTTCCTTCAATTCTTTGCTCACATGTTACCTCCTCCATGAAGCCTATCCTGACCACCTTATTCAAAACTGCAACCCCCACTCCCGGCCCTTATCCTGTCTTAGTTTTTTTCCACCAGTATTTATCTTCTAACATCCTCTGTAATTTCCTGGGTTTTTATGCTTTTTGCCTGTCTCCCGGATTAGAATATAAACCCCTAGGACAGAAATTTTGCTCTGTCTCCTTCCCTGCTGTAGCCCCAACACCCGAGATAGTGCCTGTAACGCAGCGGAGGCTCAATACATGTTTCTTGAGTGAATTCCTTTGCTCCTCAAACTGTTGCAGGGGTCTTACTGGAAACAGAGAAAGCCCTCCCTTTGTCTCCTGGGTTTCAAGATCTCCATTCCCCCGGATGCTGCAGGCACATAAGGTGCGCGCTCACACACACGCACACACACACACATATATTTACCCAATGACACTGTAGTCACATAGACACAAATTCAAACCTAGGGGGTGTCACTAATTGGCCAGGTATCCCTGGGCAACCAGTTAGCTCTTGCAAGAGTTTGGTCTCCTCATCGTTATAAGCGGGGGCATACACAAACCCTTCTCTACGGAGCCGTGTGAACAGAGTTCTCTTTCCTTCCGTCCCCGCTCCCCTACAGTCTTTCTCCCTCCACACAGACACCTGAATCAGATCACGTCCCCTCTTTGCTCAGAACCCTCTCTCCATGCCTCTCATTTTGCTATAAGCAAAAGCCCAAGTCCCGTGGGCGGCACCTTGCAGGATGTGCTCTCCCTTCCTTCAACCTTCGCCCTTTATCACTCTGCAGTTCAGGCCACACTGGTCTTCTCACCAGAACCTGTCAGCCTGGTGCCAGCCTCAGGTCCTTTGCACTGGTGCTTCCCTCTCCCTGGACCTCTCTTCCTTAAATATCTGCCTGACTCCCTCACCTCCTTTGCATCTTTACTCAAATGTCACTTCCCAGGTGACACTGGGTCTAAAGTCACTGTTCCCTTCCTACCCCACATTCCTCACGTGCCTTCCCACTATCACGGTTTCCAGTAAGTCTACCACATTCTAACAGGTGATATCATGGTCTTTATCATGTTCTTCTTTGTCTTGATTCTTGCCTGCCTCCCCCCACCCCCACCCCGCTAGGACATTGGCTCCTGGAGGACCAGGCCTTTCTTTCTTTCACGGCTGGGCCTCATTGCTAAGAAGCGTGGCAGGCACCCTTATGTTCCCGGTATGTGGTAAGGGAACCAATGTGATGTAGAGAAAGAAGTTCGCACAGGAACCCTCCACCCGCATATTGACTGTGAGCCTTAATGAAAGAGAGGCAATGACCTTGAGACCCGCGTATGGCAAGGCTCAAAGTTTGACCATTTTGGCCCAAGCCTGGGTGGAGGTCAAAGGTTGATGTTTCTAGCCCACCCCTGTGGGTCAAAAGCTCAATTGCAGGTGACCTCTGTCCCCGGTGGCCTGTGGCAAATGTCAGCCTTGCAGCCCCAAGCGGATGTCTGCCGGCCTGGCCACAGGCATGATAGCAACTTAGGGAGCATACACGGGAGGCTGGAGGACCCCAGGCAACCTCTGGCCTTTCCTGGTCCCCTGGGACTGTGCAGAGCATTTCACAAAGGCCAGAGAGAGGTCAAGGATGGAATTTTGGGGGCCACGGTCAGAGAGGAGACGCAGGGCATGGATACAGGCTTGATGAGGGGGCCTGGCCTCCTGGGGAGAGTTGCTCCCTCATCACTGCCAAAACATCTGTTGCGTGTTTGTGTGCAGCTCAGTTTGTGGGTAATCACCAAGCATGAGGAGGAGGTGAGTCTCCCCAGGCAGCAGCACGCCCGCCAGCCCCTGGGGACAGGACGGATTTGCATATAGACATTTCCATTACCTTCAGTTCCCTTCTGTCCAGCCCAGATGGGGAGTGGAGAAGTGGAGCAGAAAAAAAAGGGCTTGAACCCCTGGGCAGGGCACCTGGGCTCTCCAGGCCTCAGTTTCCTCCTCTGTGAAATGGGACTATAATTACTTTTCTTCACATGGTTTGTGGGAGCCGTGGCCTGTGTGCTGTCAGATCATCCGTTCCCTGCTTTGCTGCGCCCCACGGCTCGGGGCTGCCCCTTACATAGTCATGCCCTAGTCCACTGGCTTCTGCTCAGATTTAGCCCAATGGCAGGCACTGAGGGCAGGTCGGAGAGGGCCAGGATTGGGGGGCAGGGTAGTTCTCCCCATCGGCTTCTGGCAGCATCTCCCACTGGATATGGCCTCCCTCTCTGTGAATTTCTAAATAGTCTAACCCTTTCCCCAACTTTGGTGTTTCATCTATATAACCAAGCCCTGTGCTAAATCCCCTCTGTCTGAGATATTTCTAGTTTCCTGTGTAGACCCCGACTGATGTAAAGCAGCCATGAGGCATTTGTGTTTTGTTTGTTTGTTTTAAGATTCAATTTATGTGTACAGTTCTTCAAGCTCCCACAAACATACATAGTCATGTAACCACCATCACAATCAACATACAGAATTGTTTCCACTGTGTCCCCTCTTTTTTTTTTGAACTTTATTAATTTATTTTGAGAGACAGAAAGAGCAAGCAGGGGAGAGGCAGAGAGGGAGAGGGAGAGAGAGAATCCCAAGCAGGCTCAGTGCTGACAGCACAGAGCCCGATGTGGGGCTTGAACTCACCAATCGTGAGATCATGACCTGAGCCGAAACCAAGAGTCGGGCACTTAACGAACTGAACCACTCAGGTGGCCCCCCCTTTTTTTAATGTTTATTTATTTATTTCGAGAAAGAGAGCAGGCCAGGGGCAGAAAGAGAGAGGGAGAGGGAGAATCCCAAGCTGGCTTCACATCTAGTGCAGAGCCCAACGAGGGGCTCGATCTCATGAACTGTGAGATCATGACCTGAGCAGAAACCAAGAGTCGGACGCTTAACTGACTGAGCCACCCAGGGACCCCTCCACTGTGCCCTTTTGTGCCATCCCCAGCTCCTGCCAGCCACGGGTCTGT